TTTAAACAAATGCCCACTATTTGACTTTCTGTTTTCATTGCTTTGTGCCCAATCTGCGTCACTGTAACCATACAGGTGTTTATTTGGGTCATCCTTATTACCCAGTTTTAAAGTCAGTTCTTTAGTGCCTTTCAGGTACCGAGCGACCCTCTTTGCTTCCACCCAGTCGGGGTCGGTCGGTGATTTATTGTATTGGCTTAAAATACAAACACTTGCCGTAATGTCTGGCCTCGTATTTACCGATATGTAAAGCAATGCTCCAATTAATTGCTGATATTTTTCGCCATCCTTCATCGCTTCCTGTTCCTTAATCCTGGATTTATTGTACTGTGGGTCCAATGGATAATTCGAGGTTTTTGCGTCTTGTAACCCGAAACGAACTAATAATTTACATATATAGTGCGTTTGATTAATCCGATAAAAACCATCATCATCCTTGTTCACTTGTATCCCAAGATAGTGCTTTAGCTCCCCTAAATCCATCAGAGCAAAATGATTTTTAAAAAATTCTGCTGTCTGCTTTACTAGCCTTTTATCACTACTTGCAATTAAAAAATCATCTACGTAAACGACAATGTAAATGACTTTCCCTTCCTCGGTTTTAATATACAAGCATGGGTCTGCTTGACTTTGGTTGAATTGGTGGCCTTTTAAAACAATGTTCAATTCATCATTCCAGGCTTTTGCTGCCTGTTTTAACCCGTAAATGCTTTTGTTTAATTTACACACCATTTCTTCTTTGTCAGGCTCTAAATAACCTTCAGGTTGTCGCATAAAAATTGTTTCTTTAAGCACCCCGTTCAAAAAAGCTGTTTTTGCATCATAATGTGCAATAAAGAGTCCCTCTTTACCTGCTATGGTCAGTAGCAGCCGAAATGTCGTGTGCCTTACAACTGGGGCAAATATTTCGTCGTAATCAACTCCATATTTCTGGGAAAACCCTCGTGCCACTAACCTTGCCTTGTACTTATTTATGCTCCCTGCTGCGTCCCGCTTCGTTTTGAACACCCATTTACAACTGATTATGTCCCGACCTTCCGGCTTCTGTACAAGCTCCCAGGTATTATTTGACAATAACGAATTAATTTCTTCGTCCATTGCCGCCCCCCATTCCTTTGAATTTGGTCCAGAAAGTGCCTCCTTCCTGTTCTTTGGATCTTCGTTAAAACTAACCATCGTATACAGCTTTTCGTCTCCTGTATACCTGTGGGGTGGCACACCTTTATTCGACCTGTCGGATCTTCTTGGTTCTTCTTTGTCTTCATTCTTGTCTTCTATTTCCTGCAGGACTTCCACAGGTTCTTTAAAATTTTCCTGATTTTCTTGAACTGCATTTTCCAAATTTTGAAGACACGCCGTTGTTTTATTTTCCTTAGATCGTCTCCAATTCAACGTAATTTGAACTTTGTTACTTGGATCTTTACTTTTAATCGTTTTATTCTCTTTAAGTGGCTGTTTTACTTCTTGGTCATTGAGAAAAACGACATCCCGGCTTATCTTTATTTTATTGGTGTTTTTATCCAATAAACGATAACCCTTTGATTCTTCCGAGTATCCCACAAATAAAAATTCCACTGCCTTTTCATCCAATTTTCTTCGCAATTCTTTAGGAACATGAGCGTATGCTCTACAGCCAAAAACTCGCAGGTGGTCAACATTCGGTGCCTTTAAATGCCATAATTCGAACGGTGTTTTTTCTATACATTTTGATGGTAGCCTATTTTGCAAATAATTTGCGGTATTTATCGCTTCACCCCAATATTTCTTGTCCATGTCCGCATCGTACAACATGCACCTTGCACTTTCCAAGAGTGAGCGATTTTTCCTTTCGGCCACACCGTTTTGCTCAGGTGTATAAGCAACCGTGTACTGAATCTGAATGCCCTCCATTTTCAGGTAATTTTTCAGTTCTTTGTTGACATATTCCTTTCCTCTATCCGACCGAATTATTTTTGGCTTTTTTCCCAAACTGGTTTTCATTTTTTCGACAAATTGCTTAATAAGTTCTGCCACTTCGGATTTTTGAGCCATTAAAAAAACTCTACAGTACCGGCTGTAGTCATCTATTATGGTCAAGGCGTACCGCTTTCCTCCAGGTGTCACCGTTTGCATGGGTCCGCAAACATCCGTATGAACAAGGTCTAAAATTTTGTTTGACCTGTTCTCCGACCTTTTTGGAAATGGTTTTCTTGCCATTTTTCCTTTAATGCAAACTTCACAAGTTTCCCGTATTCCGCAATCCGTAACTTTTATACCGGCCGCTAGTCCTTTGTTTTGTAAGTCTTTAATTGCTGCCACTTCGCGATGCCCGAAACGTCTATGCCACATGTGCTGACACTGTGTACTATGACCGCCCTTTATTGCTATACACGCTTTATTGTCTGCTTGCACCGGTACCGTTTGAAGCTCATAAAGTCCGGCTACCTGTTTGGCCGTTGCCCGCACTTTTTGTCCTTCCACAATATCGCACACGTTGTCCTTAAACAGCACTTTAAAACCTTTAGCTGTTAATTTCCGCACCGAAAGTAAATTAACTTCCAAGTTTGGCACAAACAAAACGTTGTCAATCTTTATATTAATGTCCTTATTGGCCCCATTGACAAACTTTACAACACCCGACCCGGTCCCTTTAATTTCAGCCTTTTGACCATTTGCTAGCCGTACATTTCCGTTCGTGTTTCGATGAAATTCCTTAAAGAAATCCTTGTTATTAACCATATGACTTGTCGCCCCCGAGTCGATTACCCAAACGTCCTTTTGTTGTCTTATTTGCAGGCCAAAACAAACACTCACTTCATGACATAAATCTGTCTCCACATTTGTTTGTGTCATAAAACAGGTCTCATCCACTTGATTTTCAGAATAACCATCTGTAACTGCATTTGCCCTTTCTTTATTGCACTTCCAAGCTTGATATTTTCGACAAAACTTTTTGTAATGACCAGGTTCTTTACAAAAATAGCACTGCTTTTTCTTTACCAAGTTCGCCGAATTTCCTGAATGCCCGGGTTGCCCTTTATGATGATGAGAAGCCGACGCCCTCATTGCCGTGTCACTTTCTTCATCCCTTGTTTTTGATACACCTTTACGTCGACCATATTCGTCTAATAATTTTGCTTTCACTAGTTCCATTGTTAACTCCTTCTCATCCCTGCTTTCCAGTGCAGTAATTAGCGTGCCATAAGAATCCGGCAGACTACTTAATAGCATAGCAACAATTAACTGATTATTTAGCACCTCCCCCATGGCCGATAATTTATCCACCAACTCCATCATTAGGTTTATATGGAGTTCCATATTACCGCCTTCTTCTAGAGTTAATCTGCATATCCGCTTTAACAAGAAAACTTTGGTGGATAGCGATCCCTTCTGGTGGATGTCCCTTAATGAATTCCAAGCGTCGAGAGCATTTTTTGCTTGTCTAATGTGGATTAACTGGCTATCTTCGACAAGGAGTCCGATTGCTGCTCTAGCTTGATCATCCTTTCTAATCCAGGCTTCGTCTGGAACACCTGGCCTTGGCTCAGCGATCACGTCCCATATCCCCTCACTGATCAGCAAAAATTCGACCTTATACTTCCAAATTTGATAATTGGAACTGTTCAATTTCGCGATACCGTACAAAAAACGCGAACCGCCCGACATTTTCGAACCTTGATTGTTCTCTCACTTTTGCTGCAGCACACTATTTGTAAAAACTTTATTCCTGTATTGTCTTTAAACTCCGAACTCACTCACATAGATTAACTGGGCCCATAACCTGTTGGATTTTATTTAATGACTTCAATAGGTGTTTGCGTAATTATGTGAATGGTCAATAAAAAGCACAATTGTATTTAAGAACGAGATAACTAAGTAGGTACACTTTATTGATAAGTAGGTAACAAATAACTTTTAGAGATAAATACAAATAACATCTGTGACGACTATATTTCGCTGAGGGTGGTTTCGGACTGACTCTGCCTCGTAGTATATTTTAAAGTCAAGGGTACGAATGCCGTAAATGTTTCACTCGCTTGCCATGTGGTTTATTTCCTATTTTATAAACGTTGACTATTGTTGTTGCACAATATTCCAACACTATATATTTTATCTTTATATAAAAAGCGGAAAAGAAACATTATTTTTACTTATTTGAGACGCATAAAGAGTGAAACTATTTTTTTTACGCAAACATTTTTTTCAAATTGGTGCAAAACCAATTCTGAAGTGCATACTTCTATACACTTTTATATTTTACTCTAAGATATGGTGCTTTCAAATTAAAAAAATACAGCATCGAATTAAAAATAATTGTTTTATATAGGAGTTGCCAACTTAAAATATTAACAAAAAAATTATCTCCAAATTGTCCCTTTTTGCCGTCAAATTTTTAAAGTTTAAACTTAAAATATTTTTTTAATTTATAGTGAATCCGATTGCTAACATTGAAATGTTTAATTTAACCTTTCTAAAAAAGTGGCACCAAAATTAAAAACATTTAGTCCTATATTTTTTTTAATTATAAAGCGCCATATCCTAGCGTCAAATAGTCCTAGAAAAATCATATAAACCTCAAACTCAATGTCCTTACTTCAGCCGTTGAGTCACTTAACGCTTCAGCCTTAATACAAAAGGTTATAAAAGTGCTTTAAATTGGTTTTGCTTCACATTTTCAAAAAATATCTCATTTTTTTTAAGTTAAAAATAATAATAATAACCCTTCCCGCAACCTAAATGGGTAAAAAAATATTTCTTTCCTGCCTTTAATATAATAATAGAGTAATAATGTTATTTTGTCATTTTTGTTACATAGCATCATAGTGTCAGGAAAAATATTCTTCCAAACAACAAAAAATTTAGCGACCCCTTTGTAAAAATAAAAAAACGGTTTGTGTATGGGACATCCTAATAAATATGTTATAAAATAAAAATGTGGAATTTTTTGTTAATAATATTTAAAAAATGGCTATTGCAAACTTTCAATAATAATTTGAACTTTAGAAAATTTGTTTTTGGGAGCAAATTTAAAAAAATAAATTTCGATAAAAGAATAAAACATTTTGGATTCTTCTGGAAATTCCAAATCAAAGAGATAAGTTAGTTTAAAGCACAAATCTAGGGCACGTAAAATATTAGTAAATTTATACCTAATATTATTAAAAAAAATCATAATATCTTCAACTGAAAAGATGTCCTTGCCGATGGTGTAAATGGATGGTTGTATTGTTACTTTGGTTCTTTTTAAATGAGAGATATGGTCTTCTACTTCTTGCGCACTGTTTCCCACAAAAATTACTGCCTCTTGAGAGTCTTTTATAGTAAACTTAGTAATATTTTTTTCCTAGTTACTATATCCTTTTTGATCAATTTGGTTGTAGGTACAAAGTAACCGTGTAGAGCCCAGATTATTGCAGCGTTTCGCCCATCTGTAAAGAAGTAACATATGTATGTACATATGTATGTACTTATGTTGGGCCATACTAATAGAATAAAAATACTTACTTTCAGAAATAGAAGAATTGTTTAAATTTTGTAAAAGCTCTTTTACATTTTTATCTTTTACATGATTATCTACCATTAAAAAGGAAACAATTCTATCACAATTTGTTTCCCACTGTTTCAATAAGCCATCCTCGTTTCCAAAAGCCACCTTGAAATCAATGTCGATCTGAAACGTTTTTTGTTCTTAATTTGTTAATAACTTGCAATTTTTTATGTGTGGGTTTAAAACTTTTGCAAAGTTTTCTAGGTCCAAAGGGCCTTCACCTCTACGAGCAGTAACAAGAATTAAAACCAATTTAAACTTGTGAACTAGACCAATATTATAAGCCTAATAATTTAAATTTAACTGATGAATAATTAACTTGGGTAGTAATAATTAACTAATTAATAAGCTTGGAAATAAATAATTATTGCTAATTGTGACTTACCTCTTTAGGTGAACAGTGATCGCTAATCACACATTTAGGAACAAGTACATGCATACATAAAAACTTTTTGCAACTGAAATAGGAAATATGTGGAATCTGCTCTTCTTTATTAAAGTGGAGGGGGGCGTTTAAAGAACCTGTTCTTTGTGTGCAAGAATATATTCGTTAATAGTAAGAAAAAACTTCCCTGGCAACGTAATTCTTTATATTAATGTTTAAATATTTTGATGCAATACAACGTGTACGTTAAATTAAAGATTTTTGTTCGTTAATGTTATGAATAATTCATTACTTTTTTGAATGTAAAATAAGCAACAAATTCATTGATACAATAAAACCATTCGTTGTGCCAATGAAAACTTCATTGTAATAAGGTAATTTTTTCGTTATTTTGATGATCATGTTTTTCTTGTGCTAACGAACATCTATGCATAATATTGATGAATTTGCTTGTTAATCCATGAACAGTGTTTATTTGAATCAATGAAAAAATTCTTTATTTCAATGAAAACATGGTTAATGAAGGGCGTTCTTTAATAATATGACCAATATTTTTTTCAGTGTATTTTCAAGTTGTATTCTAACATTATTATAATTTTAGTATTCAGTGTCAGTTTAATGTTTAATGCAAAGATAAATAACACTGTGCAATATTTTCGGAAAAAATTAAGATGATGGGGTTCTGAAAGTATTTTCGGTTTCTACAATCAAAATCATGAATTATAGCATTTACAGGATGTTTAGATTGATTCTGGTTTTTTTTTAATATCAATTTAAAGTTTTAGTAATTCTGGATCCCGAAATATCGTAAAATAATAAATAATTAGTTCATAAATAAATAAGGGTTTTTCGGGTTCCAAAATTAATAAAACTTAAAATCGATATTAAAAAAAAACCTGAATCAATCTAAACATTCTGTAAACGCAAAAAGGCATTCTTTGGATAGGAGAAACGAAAACCACTTTCAGAACCCCATCATTTTTTTTTTTGCTGCTGCACTGTTTAATATGCTGGAATGAGACAAGGATAGAAAGTATTTCTAACTAAAGATTATTAAAGTTTTGACCACTATACCTCTACGTTATAGTAACGTAATAACAACGTGGTATTACGTACCTGTGATTTAATTTCGTCAGCAGTATAATGTAAAACCATAATTTCGGCAATTTTTCCGATTAAAAACACAAGCACAAAGAAAAAAATGGGTCCAATTTCGAGCTACAAAAATTTATTTTTTGGAAATTTGTTTTATGTTTGTATTTTTTTTTACTTACGTCGAGTAAGGCCAATGAGTTGGCTGCCAGTTGCATGGAGTTGGTGAAAAATTCCAAAAATAGTAAAATTTTAATGTAGTTGTTCAGTTCAGTAGCCGTCTAAAATATAAAATAAAGTACTTTTAAACAAAATATATATTTTAACATCTTTAAAAATCGACATGGTAAAAGTTTAAAGTTATTTTGCAACTTGAGTCATTTTCGGAAAAATTTAACCACTAACTAAATTAAATATAATTATATATACAACACTGAAAGAAATATATGTTTGTTTTAGCAATGTATGTGGTAGTCCATATATGAAACATAAAATATATTTACCTTAACCATTTTTATATTTAGTTTTAACATATTATGTTAAAACTAAATATAATATATGTTTGTTTTAGCAATGTATGTGGTAGTCCATATATGAACCACATACATTGCTAAAACAAACATATATTTCTTTCAGTGAAGGTATATGGACAGGCTGACAGTAAAAAATCGCTAAGTTTTGAGATATTATCACTTGTTTTTTCAAATGCCACTGCTACAAAATTCCAAATTCTATATATTTGTGATTAGTTTAGTTTAAAATAAAAATATATATACGAAAATCAGTTGATATAAATAAATAAACAAAAATACTGTCTATTTTTTTCCATATTTTAAATCAGTCGTCAACGAATGAATTTGTAATTATTGAAATAATGTTTTGCAGTAAAACAACAAAATATTTATCTTAAAAATAAAAAACGGTGAGTTACTCAATAAAAAAAACTATCAATAGCAAGCCCATTCTGGGTTGCGCAACATAAAATAGAATCTTGAAAGAATATGAAATTTTGTAACTGTGTCTCTGATCTAAGGTGTCAAGTTTCACAAAATTCGTAAAAATGACAATATCTTAAAAACTAAGAATTTTTTACTAGGGTCATGTTTTGATATTTTGATTGGTCATGAGTTGGCCCATCAGTCCTACAAAGGATATCGTTGACTTTTGGAACATCGTCTATAGTTTGTTTGTTTAAACTTTATTTGCGTTTACTTAAAAATAAGAATATTTGAATTTTTAATAATAGTTTTATAAAAACATGCAAAAAAGTATAGTAATTGGACATTTTATATAGTAATTTGACACTTGGACTATTATAGTCCAACTATAGTCCAACTATAATAGTTATTGGACATACAATTTTTATATAAACATAACAACTTTACATCAAATAACATAAATTTTTAAATGTTTTAGGTAATTTTTTTTATTTCGTTTTTCTAAATATCATAAAATTCATATTTTCGGATTTCTCATCCCTTTTCTGGATTCCAAAGGTAACTACTAATTCCTTGATCTGACTTCTGAAATAGTTTGTTGCAAATATCATTAAGTGCACTTGTGGTATTGTTTGTAAAGCATTTATAATGTTTAGGATGATTTATATATATATATATTAGGGTGTGCCAAAAAACCTCGATATATTTTTTTTCTTGCTCTCAACCCAAAATATCGTAGAATATGTCCGAACAAATATTCTGTTAAAAGCGGAGCTCATAATTTCAATTTTAAGAGGTCCTCCATCGAATCTGAAGTTTTGCCGCTTAAATAACACAGAAAACTGACTTTTTTACCTTATTTATTCTTGCAACCTAAGAAGAAATTTTTTTTTCATAAAATCCATGACTAATTCTTATAAAGCATTAAATTTAGACAAAAAAATCTTATTAAGCTGAATTTCTATTTTCAATATTTGATTTTTTACAGAGCTTTAAATTTATTAATTAATTAAAGTTAATAATACAAAAATGATGACTTTATACGCCTGTAACTTTAAGAATATTGACGATACAAAAAATTCGCCAAAAACTTTTTTGTGGTCCATCAGACAAGCTAAAAAATTGCCATTTGACTTTTTCGTCTAACTTAAATAGTTTAGCTGAAAAAGGCAAAAAACGTAAAATTTTAAATTTAAAGCTCTGTAAAAAATCAAATAATGAAAATAGAAATTCGGCTTAATAAGATTTTTTCTTCCAAATTTAATGCTTTGTAAGAATTAGTCATGGATTTTATGAAAAAAAAATTTCTTCCTAGGTTGCAAGAATAAATAAGGTAAAAAAGTCAGTTTTCTGTGTTATTTAAGCGGCAAAACTTCAGATTCGATGGAGGACCTCTTAAAATTGAAATTATGAGCTCCGCTTTTAACAGAATATTTGTTCGGACATATTCTACGATATTTTGGGTTGAGAGCAAGAAAAAAAAAATATCGAGGTTTTTTGGCACACCCTAATATATATATATATATATATATATATATCTAATATTTTTTCAGGTGGTATGTTGAAAGTATTTTTCGAATTTATTAATGTTGTTGCCATTAGTTTTTTATGTTCTCTATCATGCACTGTATCCGAAAATGTCGTCAAAAGTTATAAAAGTAGAATAGTTTTTGAAATATAATCAATTGACTATATCTCAAAAACTGCTTAACTTTTATAGTTTTTTGACGGTCTTTTCGGATTCAATAGACAATTTTACATAAGAATTGGCTGGTAAATGCCCTGGATATAAATAGAGTATGATATTGGACATATTATGTCCAATAATAGAAATTTACATTTTTTACCAACCAGTAATTGTACTGTTTGTTTTCATAATTAAAATTAAAACGCATTAAAGTGACAATGTTTAAACAAGGAGGAACACATTTATACCACACACTGATCTGTACACTTTTTAGAAATATTTATTATAATTATGATGAAGTAAATTTTACAACTCTTTTCAACAGTTTTTATATTTTTCCCACTGATGAGGAAGAGGTTAAGAAAACAATTAAAAGAGTGACCAGGAAGAGGGCCCGGGGATGGATGAAATTGATGGAGAAATACTTGCTGCAAGCGCCCCATGGGTTGTTTTAAATCAAAAGAGAACGATTATAATTATTTAATAAATAGTTCAAATACTCAATACTGTGTTTGTTCAGTAGTTCCGACGCTGTCGTAGGGAAATGTGTATAGTTTTTAAGAAATACATTTTCGCCATTAACTGGAATTTAATGGATTTTAAACAATACTTAGTTTTTATTTGCAGAAATGCATTAAAACAAAACAAACGAATTCGATAAAAATAAAACCTATAAATTCTCAATCCCTACCACAGTGGGCGGGGTTTGGCACTTGTTTTATTTAAGTGTATCTATTCGTTTTAATACACACTGTATACAACATTAAGCATTCACTACAATGTTATGATAATATACATCCATACGAAACAAGAAAAAAAAATTGTATCCCCCTTACTTAAGGTTATCAATAAGTCAGTCTAGCCACATATACCAAGGTATTAAGTTTTATAATAAAATTTTTGATTTAGTTAAAAATTGTCAAAATGTTAATGTCCTGAAACATCGTCTTAATATATTGTTTATATATAAAGTTTATTATAGCATAGAGGAATTTTTAAGTGATAATTTTAATTTTTAAGTGATAATTTTAATTATTATTCTGTTTTGTATATATTAACTAGTCTAATAAGTATTTCACTGCTGTCTTTGTAATGCTTTAAGGATGAATAAACTATTATTATTATTATTATTATTATTATTATTATTATTATTATTATTATTATTATTATTATTATTATTCTAATTTAAACACAGCCCTGCTCTTAACAAAAAACAAAAATCTTACCAACAAATTAACGTGCGAACTTTTTAGTCCTATATTGGAATCAAAATAAAGTAGTTCTATATTATTACCGACTGAGATGGTTATAATTGTATACAGCGTCATCTAATGATTTGACTTTAAGGTAACTATTTATAGAACTCTTGTTTTTACAATATTAATGTTAATTGTCCAATAACTGTCTTCTTTGCCTTATCTCAAAATTATGATCAAGTATTATTATTATACTTACTTCATTATATTTTGATGTTCGATGATGCACAATCTAACTGCTACAAAAACAGCCTGATCTTCAGTTAATTCCATATGAATTTGCCTGATATTGCTGGCGTACTTGTCAACGTTCCTTAAAAAATTCTGCAGGATTTTTAGTTTTATAGACATGTTAAAAAGAAAACCTAGGAGCATTGCGTCGAACGAACTGTAAAACATAATTGCGATACAACATGCCAAAGCACTGAAAACAAGACACCACAAATAGTGCTCGTTCGTGTCAAATGGTAAATAAAAATAATACGGTGTTTGACGAACCATCAATTTGGCTTTATCTTCATTCCAAAAAACATAGTATTCCAAAAAGTAAGTGCCTATAAATATCATGCCCGAAAAGGGTGTGTAAAATATAAAAGGCTTCATATACAACTTAGCCTTAAGAATGTAATCGTTTCTTATCTTTAGTAGGGCTTCGTCTTTAGTTTTGGACAAAAAATAATCCTGCTCCACGTTCAACTTAATCATCCTTTGTATGCCCCCGAACTGACATATTATCGCTTTTATTGAAATTATCAAATTCGTTATGTACAACGTCATACTCGGCGGAAAATCTTTTAAATCGCCATGTACAATAACCAAATAAAGTCCATAACTCAAACTTAACACAAATAAAAAGTAAATAACCATCGGAATTATTTTAACGACTTTGTAGAACGCCCTGTATTTAGCAGATGGAATTAGTTCTGTGGGCCATGTACCGCACAACAACATCATAATGCTTACTTGTTTCCAGTTTGAATTTGGATCCATCTCTTTAGCAAGCGATAGGCAACGGGTAACTACTCTTTAAATTTTTCAATTAAAAACATTTAAATGAATATTGATTAAAAGAATTAATTGTGTTTTTAATTGTTTTATTTAAATAATAAATAATATTGATTCTAAGGTATTTAAATTGAATCAATAGATGTAATATAAGACGTGGCAAAAACATTTGTTGCAGGTAAGATTATTTTTATCAATATCAATTAGGGTGTCCGTTATTTACCAACTTGATTTTTTTCGCAGCGCCCCCTATATTTTTAGTTAATAACCCGCGGGTTCGGAGGGTCCGGTTGTCATAAAATTCTCTTTATTATGTTGGTATACATGCCCCCGAAGTATGATAAAAACTTTAGCTGTTTTCATCGTTTACTTTGTCTGTGGCAGCCGCTAAGGTTAGACGTGTTTTATGAGCTCGGCGATTTTTCGTTCGTTAAAAGAAATGGATCAAAGAATTCGTATCCAATTTTACTTAAAAAATGAAATAAATTCTGTGAAATGTTAACAAAGGCCTATAGTGAGTCTGCTATAAGTAAAACAAGAGTTTACAAGTGGTATAAGAGTTTCCAAGATGGCCGTGAAGACGTTGAAGATGACGAACGCCCCGAACGCACAAGCACATAAAAACATGGGAAAAGTGGAAGAAATGGTTATAAACCATCAGAGAAGTCGCTGATGATGTTGGTATATCGATTGGCTCATCCCATGAAATTTTTTCGAATGTTTTATGAAACGCGTGGCAGCAAAATTTGTTCTAAAATTGTTAAATTTTGAACAAAATTTTTGGCCAAAAAGAATACTGTAATGATGCCCCAGCCTCCATATTCGCCAGACATGCCTCTGTCTGACTTTTTCCTATTTCCAAAAATAAAGAGAACCCGAGGGGTCAACCACCCAAAGGGAAAACGTCCAGGGATTCCCATGTATTCCCATTATATTTTATTGTATTCATATGTATTCCTATGGTATTCCCCCTCTAAAATGTCCAGGGATTCCCAGGTGTGGGTGACCCCCCGAGAGAACCTTAAAGGGCCGTCGTTTTGCAAGCATAGATGACATTAAAAGCGCATCGCTGAAAGAACTAAAGGCTATCCCAAAGATCGAGTTTTAGAAGTGTCTCGAGTATTGGAAGAAGAGCTGGCACATGTGCATAATATCCAATGGGAACTATTTTGAAGGCGACCACATTAATGTATAAAAATAAATAAATATTTGTTTTAAAAAACGAAAATTCCCGATATTTTCTGAACACACCTCGTATGTCTGCATTATTTGGGTAAATAATAAGTTTTGGCTGGTAAACAGCCGCTGGTTAGGACCAAATATTTACGTTTATTGTCAGTAGACAAAAGAAACTTCATCACCAACGAGCAGATTGTGAGTTTTAGAGCCGTTTCACATGCGACTGATAAAGTCCTGACGATCAGTCCGGATGATACGGACTGACGGTCATGGCCATTGTTTCCAGTGTTGCCAATGGTCTTGACATAATTTACACACAGATTCTGTCAAAATTCCACAATTTTGCCAACTATTCCACACATTTGGGATATTGGTTTTGTTAGGTTTCTTTGGTGATTACAGCAGAAAGAGTTTCTGAGGTGAATCACCACAAAAACTCTTTCTGCGGTAATTACTGGTGATTACTTAAAGACGGTTTCAAAAACTTACTAGATTACTTACTTTGTCAATAAGTCTGCACATAAATTCGTCCATATAACTAAATAACTAAAATGCGCATTTGCAAATATATCTATTTAAATGCTTGTTATAAGCATTGTTAATTTAAAGATAAAGTTTACACGCAAATTCCACACATTTATGTATTACACACAAATTACACACAACAAAATAAATTCCACACAATGCGTGGATTTCCACGTACATTGGCAACACTGATTGTTTCACAAGCAACGTATAGTACGGAAATGTCTACTACGAGACGGTTCTCAGCGCCTCCAGAACTGCGCTGTTGCCGCTTTTTGTATAAAGAGAATAATACAACGCAAAATTTTAAAAGTTCTTTTTTGCTTCCGCAAAATTTTCAAAATCCGGAACTACTATTTCCGCTACTTCTTCAAATGCTTTGTTCTTTGCATCCCTTTTTTTGTAGTTCTCATCATCTGCATACCAGATGCATCTTCGCTGTTCGATGCTACTTATTACAATTTCTGTATCAATGCGTAAACTACTTATTGTGCAACACTGTTTCTGCTGACCGTACGTACCATATGAAATACTCCATATAACTAACAGCCCTTAATAGTCCTGACGGTACGCAGTGCGCACGGGCTGTCCCGCATCGCGATGCCCGTGCCGACGAATCAGTCAACCGATGATACGCAGTGCATGTGAAAAAGTTCATTTAAACAATGGCCCCTAGTCATCAGGACTGACCATCAGGACTGATCGTCAGGACTTTATCAGTCGCATGTGAAACGGCTCTTAGACGATTTTTTGTTTTTTTTTTCGCTAATACCAACAACTCGTCACTTTCTTTGTAGATGTTTGCCAAACAGTCAATCATATCGACAAAAAATTCTCTTAAATTTGGTAGTGCCTTATTTTTTAATTTCTTTAAATTGTATTATGGTTTGAGTAAGAAAATTAGTATATTGAAAAAAAACTTAAATATTAAAAAAACTGCTTTTATTATTACACACAGGAAAATAATATTATTTAAATTAAATAAATGTTATATATATATATATATATATATATATATCAAATAAATTATTTATTTCGATATACCCAAATAAATGTTCTTTTGAATGTAAAAAATATTTATTTCTTTTAATTTAATTAATTTAAATTTTATTTATTAAACCCAAACAAATATGATTAGTTTGTACTATGAAATAAAACCAAGTAACAAACATGTATTTTTTTAAATTAAATAATTATTTTATTTACGTAAAACAGACAATTTATTTCAATTAAAATTTATTTATTTAACTTAAATAATCATTATATTTGAATTAATAAAAAATATTTATTTAGATTATTATTATTATTATTTAGATTAAAGGATATTTTTTTTATTAATAATGTTTTATTGATTTCATCTAATTTAGTAAAATATATTGGTATATTAGGGAGGTAAAAATTAATTAAAATTTTTATAATAAACACTAATCTTTATTGCATAAAACAGTCTTATAAATAAAGATAGGAAACCCTAAACTCTACAAATACTTACAAAACTTTTTGGTACATAAATTAACCTATTACATACCTATAATACATATAAAATTATTAAATTATTTAAAACCATTTTGCAAAAATTTTGGTTTTAACTTTGACATTTGATGACATTTGTTATAACGAACTATTTATAATAGTTATTTATGTATTAAGGGCATAATAAGGTTTTTATGGTCCGAGGCGCTATTTCGAAAAGCGTCGTAGGACCATAAAAACCAGTTATGCCAGCAATGCATACAAAACTTTATGCACGATTAATATATTAATATTATTGTTTTTAAAGACGTTCACGTCAAAGAGTTTTTGTTATAATTGTCATATTATAATGTCATCGTACATAAATAACATTTATCTACGCCAGTGAGATAAGAACTTCTTATCCCACTCATTTTGAGTGAGATAAGAAGTTCATTAACGCACGCGTTTTTCTCTGTTTTTAACCAATCAAATAAAAAAGTCAAAATGTCAAAATAACCCTAAATTAAGTCTTAGACAAAAATAATTACCGTTTATTTTTTCATTTAGAGGCGTAGATAAATATACGTGTGATAACGCTTTATTAACGTACTTTTGCATGCGTACGTTAATAAAGCTCTTATCCCACTTATATCGTAAATAAGTATTATATAATATTAATTTATCATTACCAAACCAATTTACTAAAACAAAAACCAAAAGGACAACACGACACTTTATTAATATTAAAACCCTAATTGCGAGAAGTATTACTTCAACTTTTAATAATTAATTTCCGAGATTTTATATAAAAGGTGACACCTAACTGTTTAATTTAGTTTGTGGTCAAATTATTTACGAAAATGGACCCCAACTCGAACTGGAAACAAGTTCAAACGTGTATGGTGCTGTGTGGCACATGGCCCGTGGAGTTACTACCGGAAAAATACAGGGGGTTCTACAAAGTCGCCAAAATATTTCCGTCGTTATTTTTCTTTATATTTATGTTAAGTTTAAGTTATGGTCTTTATTTGGTTATTATACAGGGCGATTTAGAAGACCTTCCGCCAACTATATCGCTGTACATAACGTATTTGATTATATCAACGAAAACGCTTATATGTCAGTTCGGGGGCATACAGAGGATGATTAAGTTGTACGTGGAGCAGGATATTTTTTTGGCCAAAACTAAAGACGAGGCCGTACTAAGGATAAGAAACAATTACATATGCAAAGCCAAGTTGTGCATGAAAGCCTTTATATTTTACACGCCGTTTCTGAGCGTGGTATTCACATCAACGTATTTTTTTAAGTACTACGTTTTTTGGGACAAAAACAAAGCTAAGGATATGGTTCGTCAACAGGTGTATCATTCTTATTTGCCATTTGACTCGAACGAGCACTACTTATTGGGTCTGGCTTGCAATGCTTTTTCCAGTTATTTTATCATTCTTTTGTACATTTCAAGCAGTGTTGTTCTAATAAGTTTTTTATTTTCTATCTCTATCAAACTGCAAATCCTGCAGAATTTTCTACGAAACCTTAACAAGTACGCCGGCAATATCAGGAAGATTCATAAGAGATTATCTAAAGATCAGGCTGTTTTTGTTGCAGTTAGATTATGCATTATTGAGCATCAAAATATAATGAAGTAAGTTAAAGAAATAATTGTTATCATGTTTATTACAAAACAATAATATTGTAAAAATAACTTTGGATTATTTTAGGTTAGTTCTAGAACTAAACAGCTACATCAAGTTTTTACTACTATTGGAGTTTCTTGCAAATTCTATGCAACTTGCAGCAAACCTATTGGCCATCATGGACGTAAGAAAAACAAATTAACAATTAATTAATTAATAAAATTGACGTTTTTTGTAGCTCGAATTTGGAGGAATATTTTTCTGTTTATTCGTGTACTTATTCCAAAGATTTGCCGAAATTATGATTCTACATTATACTGCCGACGAAATAAAATCACAGGTACATTAATCAAAACAATTATATAAACACATCTACAGAGTTTCACGAAAATGTTATACACTGTTTAAAATATCTGTGGTGAAAAGGGTAATCTTAAAATGGTGTTAATATAAACACCATGAATTATGGTTAAAAATGTTAAATACAGCAAACACCAAAACGGTGTTTATCTAAAAATATTTGAGAAGTGCACATACACAGAAAAAAAGGAATAGTTCATTAAACTATATTAATTTAGTTGACCCATAAGTATTTATTTAAATTAACTGTGGGAAGGTTAATATAAACAAAGATTAGTTTAATGGTATGGTTAGATAGTTTTTTTTTAAATTGCTTAAATTAACCCAGAAAACTTTAGTGAAACCAACCCGCTATGGTTCAGTTAACTAAATATGATGTTTGTAAAATAAGAGTTACTTCAACCTAAAGCACTCTGTTAAAACGATTAAAACAATTTGCCGTGCATTCCTGGTTGCATAGTATGTACCGATCGCGGCAAAGGCGGTGTGGATCACGTGATGTTCTAAAATATCGCCTCGAATGACTTACATGAAGAGTTTAGGTAGTCATTTGCTTTGGTGTTCTATACTAAAGAGACCTTAAATAGGTGGAAACAGCTGTCAATACTTGAGGTATTTGAAGTTGGTGGAACGCACTAAAAACATTTTCTCTAGCGAGTTGAAGGTTTAATTTTCTGGAATAATACCACTGGTAATATACTAGTAATGCGTCAAGGAACTTCCTGTTTCCTTTTTTTTCCTTTTTTTCTGTGTAGCATGATTTACACCAGGTAAAATTTATTTTAATACTGAAATTTACACTATTTTATATTTATATTTAACACCATTTTGGTTTGTATCGATATAGACGATGTATGGTGTTAATTTGGTGTTGAAATTTTGAACAGTGTACTAACTCCATTGTAACTTTTGTAAATTTGTTGATTTTTAATAAAACTTTATTTTAGAGCCTCAATCTGTCGCAAGCTATTTGCGACTCAAACTACTACAATTTCAACAAAAAATCCAAAGATTGCCTTATGCTTATGTTACTGGTAAGCCAAAGACCTTTGGTTTTAACAATTGGACCTTTTGGAGAAATGTCACTGGAACCTGCATTGAAGATTTTTAAAACAGCCTATACAATCATTACTTTCGTAAAACAAACACATCCCAGTAAATAAGAAATTTGTTGTTTTTTTAAATATTTTTTTTCTTTGGCTTTTGACATTGTTTAAATTTAAACTTTATGTACATAGATAAATTTGCACGACCCATTCGTAGAAATAATTTCTTAAAGTAAAATAACACGTTATTTTATAAAAAGTTATAACTTCTATTGCATTCGTCCTGATCAGAATAATATATTCTTATTAATTACATTTATTTCAAGTATATTGTTTTAAGATAAATCAACGTTTTATTACATGTAAAACTTATACTTAATTTTGTATTAAAGACTTCACCAACTTGAATTAAACATACCGTCTGGTTTAAAATATAGAACGTTTTAATTTAAAATCAATGTTAAAATATTAAACGTGTATCAAACGAAGTTTTATTTCAAACATTGGATTTATTACATCAAGGCAAGCTGTGATTGATTTAAAACAATATTGTTACCGTAATCGGAAATCAGTGGTTTGGGAGTCTAAATTAAAAGAGTGAGTTTGTTATACCTAGTGCTTTTTCTTCAAATATGGATTCAATAGCAGATATTTTAAAAAGTTAGTTTTTAAGGTATGTATACAGGTATTTATATGGTTGTGATACAGCAAACCATATGATATTACAAAGGAAATATTTTGGCGACTTTGTAGTCGCGTGGAATTAGTTCTGCGGGCCAGGTACCGCCAAAATATATATATATATATTAGGGTGGCCCAAAAAAAAAAAGAAAATTTTTTTCTTCTCGTCTCTTGTGAAAATATGTTGGTTTGTCATGTTTTAAGAGCCCTGTCAAAAGATCAGCACCATTAAAAAATTTTTAGGGGTCGCTCAAGATTTTTAAAAATTACCAAAATCGTCAAAAATTGGATTTTTTTTATTTTAATTTTTTTTCTCGTTCCGATATTATTTTTTAAATTAAAAATAATAAAGATTCTGAAAATTTCAAATCGATATTTTAATTTCTAAAGGTCGCTCAAGATTTTTTTAACTTTCAAAGTAGAGTATTTTGAATGTTTTCGAGCGACCTCTGAATATAAATATCAAAGAACTTTTAGCGACCTTTAGAAATCAAAATATTGATTTAAAATTTACAGAATTTTTATTATTTTCAACCTAAAAAATAATATCGAGACGAGAAAAAGAATGACAATAAAACAAAAATTCAATTTTTGACGATTTTGAAATTTTTTAAAAATCTTGAGCGACCCCTACAAAATTTTTAATCGAGCTGATATTTTGAAAGGGCTCTTACAGCATGATAAACTAACATATTTTTACAAGAGACGAGAAGAAAAAAAATATTTTTTTCTTGGAATCATATGGAAAACTTTTTTATTATTAATTTTAGGAAAAAAAGTTATTCTTCATAAAAAGTTCTGCATGGTGTAAAACTTAAAATGCAACCCACAAATATTAATTTTTTTTAGTCGTATACGAGGTATGTCAAAAAATATGAATTTGGCGCAAGAGTAAAGTACCTTTATATTTGACAATATCGAAAATTGTTATAAAGAAAAGTTAATCAGAACTAAAAACTACGTTTAAATATGCAATTTCATACATTTACATTAAAAAATTAGGTTTTGTTAATTTTTACTAATCTTTCTATTTTAAATGAACATTTATCTGTTATGATTAGAAAAAACATGAAAACCTTAAGTTAAGTCAGGGGATCTAGCAGGCCAAAAAGTATTAGAATATCAACAAATCATTTGTTTATCAGTGAATCCTAAATTACATGTTACAGTTAAATTTGCATTGATATTGTAGACAAAAAAGAAAAAATATTTTTTTTAATGTAAATGGATGTAATGGCATATTTGAACGTAGTTTTTAGTTCTGATTAACTTTTCTTTATAACAATTTTCGATATTGTCAAATATAAAGGTACTTTACTCTTGAGCCAAATTCATATTTTTTGACATACCCCGTATACGACTAAAAAAAAATAATATTTGTGGGTTGCATTTTAAGTTTTACACCATGCAGAACTTTTTATGAAGAATAACTTTTTTTCCTAAAATTAATAATAAAAAAGTTTTCCATATGATTCCAAGATACTGAGACATACTGTATATATTAGGGTACTTTTTTTTCACTACTATTTTTATTTTTTCGCTCCCAACTCAAAATCTTGTTGAAAATGTTCAAAACAAAATTTCCTGAAAATTTGAGCCCTTAATATTAACTTAAAGTACTCTACCAAAGCGTATAAAGATTTCCCTTCACATGTATGTAAAGTTTGATTATTTTTTTAAATATCTATATCATAGCCGCAGTTTATGCTATTGGATTGTTTCAAAAAGGGATTTACTCGTAATCAAAAGTTCTACAAAAATACTTTATGTGCCATAGCTGTAATCTGCACCTGTAGGATGGTACGGGTCACTAAATCTTATTTTAGTGAAAAATTCTCATATTTTTGAAGATATTTCAAGTGACTAGATTCTTTGAAAAAATGTAAAGGACAAACTTGTGAAAAATTTAATTTTCTTTAAAAAAGGTATTATCAGTTGAAACGCTAAGATTGATATTTGTTGGGATATAAAGCGTTTACATTGACAATTTATGAAATTTTTAGGTTTTTCGTACCAAAATTTTTATAAATGATGATTTTCATTTGTTTATCAGTACAATTTCATCTTATTACGTTTTTTCTACAGTCGGGTTAGAAAAATAAATAACTAAAACAATCAAGCATAATTATTAATAAAATAACATGTATGTAATACACCTCGTTATATAAATTTTTAGGTTAGATAAATCTTTTCTCTTTAAAGTTATGTTATTAATAATTATGCTTCATAGTTTAAGGTAAAAATATGGCACGCAGTTTTAACATTTATTAAATAGTTTTTTAATTTAAAATTTACTAACCAACAGTTCACTTCTGTATTAAAAAATATTAGCAAAAATTTCTAACTATCATTTTTTAATAAAAATAATTTCCCCTGGGACTTGCAAGTATAATTTATTTGGGTGGCATTTTGTTAACTTAAATAAATATTTTATAAAATTATTGAGATTAATTTGGTAAAGTTAAATTTTTTTGCATTTAAAAATAGTATCAAGCCATTTAAAATAAAAACACATATAAAACATTTTCTACCAAAATAGTTTAAAAGGTTAAATTTTTGTAAACCCAAAACTATTGATAATCAAAAAATATTTTAAATATAAAATGCAACTGAAAAAGTTTAAGTTTAAAAATATTAATTTTTAAAAAATGGAATTTTAATATTTTATTCTTCAAAATTATTGGTTTGAATTTGTAAAGAGTCATTTAAATGATAGTCGATAAATTTTTAATCCAAAAATTACTACTTTAAAGTTTAAAACTTACATTTAAAGTAATGTGAGAATTTTTGTATTAATAATTTACCAACTATCATTTAAATGACTCTTTAAAAATTTAAACCTATAATTTTGTAGAATAAAATATTACAACCAAAACTTTTAAAAATCAATATTTTTAAACATAAATTTTTACTGTTGCATTTTATATTTAAAATATTTATTGACTATTAATTGTTTTGAGTTTGAAAAAATTTAACTTTATAAATTTCTGTTAAAACATAATTTAAGTGCTAAACTTTAATCTTTAAACTTTTATCTAATAAATGCTAAAACGGCGTGCCATATAAAAAGCTATTAAAATTAAGTAAATTAAGAAATATTTAAAAACAAACCTCATTTAAACATCGAATGTCTTGGTTGAAAGTTGTTTTTCATAAAAATCAAAATGAGTATGCACAATATTTATTTTTAAATATGCACGTCGAATACAACAAATGACCTGAAGCGATTTTTGCATAGCACATTTTTGATCACCGCACGAACAGACTCCCATTTAATGCTGGTTCACTCAAAATTTCCGTCTTTTAGAAGTTTTCGGATATCAGGGCCGTTAAGTACACCTAAAAGTTAATAAATTTTTAGAAAAATGATTTAAAGTAAAGTTAAATATTTATATCAAGTGTTCTTGAGTAATTAATTAAAAATATAGCAAAATGATGAAACAAAAAACTTAAATATTTAATATCTTGAGAAAACGAGCTAACTTTAAAAAACTGATTACACCACTGAATTCTACACCCAAAAAATAGGTTTACCTGTCCCGGCGTTTTTATGTGTCTTTTTAAAAGTTTGAAATTTACCTACAGTGTAATTGTATGTATTGTATGGTTTCACTGTATTTATGCAATATTAATTAACTTTCAAACTACATGTCATGATAAATTAAACATATTCTGGGACAATATAAAGTAGGGGAGGATTTAACAACCACCTACTCCAAAAAACACTCAGACAGGTCGATTGTTATTTTTAGTTGCGCATTTTTTTCAACAAAAACTTTTTTACAGGGTTTGACATTTAGCAGTTAAGTGGCCAATATCAACTTTCTTATTTCAAATGCAACACCCTGTATATTTCTGGATTCTTCTAAAAATTGTTGTTTTGGAAATATTATAAAATTAACATTAAAGACCGATAATTATTTGATTAGAGAAATTCGCTACACACTGTATAATTTTTTGTAGATACTTTCATAAAAAATTGTTATAGCGATTAGTTGAGTTTTATCAGGTTAGGATCCAAAAAAAATTGTTAGGAATTTATCTATTTTTATGTTTATTTTCTGATATCCAAAGGTAAATTCAACATTTTTTTCCAGTACTAAAGCTCTGAATCTCATTGAACTAGGTGTAAGTACTCTTGGTACTATGGTTTTTAAAATTATTGGATGGCAACCCTAGATACACTGCCCGACAAAATTAACGCATAATAAGTACAAAAATTCTAAAACTCTAAAACGCCTTTACCTATCTTTATGAAATTTTGTATAAAAATACTTCAACTTATATCTCAGTTTACGTGTTCTAGGGTTTTTCGAGAAAATATTTTTAAACCCCTTTTATTTAATAATGAAAAAACGATCGAAAAATAACTTTTAGATAAATTGTTTTTAAGTAAATAAAAAATATGCTGTTAAACCGTATTTTTGTTAGTATACCCTGAAAATTTTGTACAAATCAAATGAACAGCAACAAAGATACAGCGATTCAAAGTCGTCAAAAATTACCACTTTTTTTTTTACTGATTTTGAAGCGCTGTATCTTCGTTAATGTTCGTTTAATTTGTACAAAATTTTAAGGGTATACTAACAAAAATACGCTTTTCAACAGCATATTTTTTATTTACTTGAACAAAAATTACCCTAAAAGTTATTTTTCGAACGTTTTTTCATTATTTAATAAAAGGGCTTTAAAAATATTTTCTCGAAAAACCCTCGAACACGTAAACTGAGATATAAGTTAAAGTATTTTTATCCAAAATTTCATAAAGAATTATAAAGGCGTTTTAGAATTAGATTTTTTGTGGTTCCAAAAATTATGGCCAAAATGAATAAAAATAATCTCACATGCAAAAAGTGTTTTTGCAACATTATATTACATCTACAAATTAAATTTAAATACCTTAAAATCAATATTATTATTTATTATTTAAATAAAACTTTCACACATAACAAGAAAAACTTATTCCTCTTTTTATTTTAATCAATATTGAATTAATATATATTCAGTCATATTTTGCAACCCGTGCCTTACGCTTGCTAAAGTGATGGATCCAAATTCAAACTGGGCAATAGTAAGAATTATGATGCTGTTATGCGGTACTTGGCCCGCAGAACTAATTCCACCTGGTAAATTAAGGGCATTCTACAAAGTCGCCAAAATATTTCCGTTGTTATTTTTATTCATATTAGTATTAAGTTTAAGTGTTGGATTATGTTTGCTCATTACACAGGGCAATTTTAAAAACCTACCGGTGGCTTCATCGATGTATATCGTACAGGTTATAGTATTGATAAAATCGCTTATATGTCAAAACGGGGGCATGAAAAAGATGATTAAGTTGAATGTGGAGCAGGATATTTTTTTGTCCAAAACTACAGACAAAGGTATACACAAGATAAGAAACAATTACATTGCCACAGTCAAGTTTTGTATGAAGGCTTTTGTATATTACACACCCTTTTTTTGGGTAGTATTGGTACTTACTTACTTTTTGGAATACTATGTCTTCTGGAACGAAGAAAAAGCAAAGTTAATGAACCGTGAACAACTTTCTCAGAGTTATTTAATATTTGACGCGAGCAAGCATTATTTGTGGGGTTTTCTTTGCAATGCTTTTTTATCTTATATCGTATGCATATATTTCGTTGCATACGACTCAATGATGATAAGTTTTCTTTTTAACATCTGTATAAAACTGAAAATCCTTCAGAATTTTCTAAGGAACCTCGACAAGTATGCCGGCAATATCAGGAAGATTCATAAGGAATTAACTGAAGATCAGGCTGTTTTTGTAGCAGTTAGATTATGCATCATCGAGCATCAAAATATAATGAAGTAAGTAATAATACTTATATAATTGTGAGATTTATACATATATATTGTAAAAATATATACAGTATGTCTCAGTATCTTGGAATCATATGGAAAACTTTTTTATTATTAATTTTAGGAAAAAAAGTTATTCCTTATAAAAAGTTCTGCATGGTGTAAAACTTAGAATGCAACCCACAAATATTAATTTTTTTAGCCGTAAACGGGGTATGTCAAAAAATATGAATTTGTCTCATGATTAAAGTACCTTTATATTTTACAATATCGAAAATTGTTATAAAGAAAAGTTAATCAGAACCATTAACATTAAAAAAATATATTTTTTCTTTTTTGTGTACAATATCAATGCAAATTTAAGTGTAACATGTAATCATGCACTGATAAACAAATGATTTGTTGATAGCAACAAATGTTTGACAGTAAGTTTTAAAACGCGTTAGTTTATGACACAAAAATGGTTTTATTATTAACTAGTGAAGAAAAAATAGAAATTGTTTTAATTGTGGGAGAAAATTATAAAACACATAGAGAAGCAGCTATTATTTTTAGTAATAAACATCCCAATAAAAATATTAATCAATCAACTGTTACCAAAATATTACTTGAAACAAAAAGTTCACCAGAAAGGGCCGTTAATCATGTGGAAAGGATAATTTTAGAAATATGCCAAGAAATTTCTCCACAAATAATAAGGAATGTGTTACGTGAATTTTCTAATAGAATAATAAAATGTATTGAACGAGAGGGTGGATATGTCGAGGCGTTAGTAGAATGAATGAAAATTAAATTTCCATTTATTTCTAGTAGTAATATTATGTTAATTACACATGTTTAAAAGTTGTAACTTAGTATTAGTATGTGTTTTTTATTTGAAAAATAAATTAATTAATTACGTGTTAAAATTGCAAAATTTTTAGAAAACATTTAGAAACGAAAAGGTTTTCATGTTTTTTGTAATCATAACTAAAGATGGGATATTTAGGTACTAAAAACTGAAAAATAGGCAACTAAAAAAATACTAAAAAAGCATTTTAGGTTAAAAAACAGCATTTTAGGTAAAAAAAAAAATTAAAAGTTCAAGTTTCGTTTATAATTTTATTTAGCCGCATACCCAAACACAGAACATACCCACAATAAACTATTTATATGCAATAAACTGTTTCACTGAGTGACACTCACTACACACTGTGTAGTACACAGAAGTTATATGATAGAACATAAGCTCACTACAAAGAGGGTAACTGTAAAGAAAGTTACTGTTACAGTCTGTGACCATAAGAAAAAAATAAAATAAGTAAAAATACGTAAAAATAGGTAACAAATAGGTGAAAATAAACTGACAAATTAAAAAATATGTAACAAAAGTATAAAAAGGTAGTTTAAAGCAAAAACCTCTAAAAAGGTAAAAAAGGTGAAAACAAGTTAAAAAAATAGGTAACAAAAGTATAAAAAAGGTAGTTTAAAGCAAAAACCTCCAAAAAAGGTAAAAACTCTTAAAACACATTTTGGCATTATTGGTTTTCAAATAGTTACATCGGCTGAAAAAAGGTAAAATAACTAAAATCCCATCCCTAATCATAACAGATAAATGTTCATTTAAAATAGAAAGATTAGTAAAAATTAACAAAACCTAATTTTTAACGTAAATGGATGAAATTGCATATTTAAACGTAGTTTTTAGTTCTGATTAACTTTTCTTTACAACAATTTTCGATATTGTCAAATATAAAGGTACTTTACTCTTGAGCCAAATTCATATTTTTTGACATACCCCGTATACGACTAAAAAAAAATAATATTTGTGGGTGGCATTTTAAGTTTTACACCATGCAGAACTTTTTATAAGGAATAACTTTTTTCTTAAAATTAATAATAATTAATTATTGCTCTCCACCCAAAATATCGTAGAATATGTCCAAACAAATATTCTGTTAAAAGCGGAGCTCATAATTTCAATTTTAAGAGGTCCCTCATCGAATCTGAAGTTTTGCCGCTTAAATAGCACAGAAAACTGTCTTTTTTACCTTATTTATTCTTGCAACCTAGGAAGAAATTTTTTTTTCATAAAATCCATGACCAAATCTTACAAAGCATTAAATTTGGACGAAAAAATCTTATTAAGCCGAATTTCTATTTTCATTATTTGATTTTTTACAGAGCTTTAAATTTAAAATTTTACGTTTTTTGCCTTTTTCAGCTAAACTATTGAAGTTAGACGAAAAAGTTAAATGGCAATTTTTTAGCTTGTCTGATGGACCACAAAAAAGTTTTAGGCGAATTTTTTGTATCGTCAATATTCTAAAAGTTACAGGCGTATAAAGTCATCATTTTTGTATTATTAACTTTCAATTTAAAGCTCTGGAAAAAATCAAATAATGAAAATAGAAATTCGGCTTAATAAGATTTTTTTGTTCAAATTTAATGCTTTGTAAGAATTAGTCATGAATTTTAAGAAAAAAAAAATTCTTCCTAGGTTGCAAGAATAAATAAGGTAAAAAAGTCAGTTTTCTGTGTTATTTAAGCGGCAAAACTTCAGATTCGATGAGGGACCTCTTAAAATTGAAATTATGAGCTCCGCTTTTAACAGAATATTTGTTTGGACATAGTCTACGATATTTTGTGTGGAGAGCAAGAAAAAAAAGATATCGAGTTTTTTTGGCACACCCTAATATATATATATATACAGGGTGAGTCATTTAACTTGAAACTTTGAAATATCTCAGTTAGTATGACTTTACTACAAACGGGAGTGTTCAACCGAAAAAAAGAGTTCGTCGAGCAATTGCATTAAATTGCAATACATTAATTTCATTATTTCCACCTGTGATTGTTAACAATCGCAGGTGGAAATAAAAAAATTAATGTATTAGCAGCAACGGCCGCTACTGCTCATACAAGCACACGAGAATTATCTATAGATTTGAGAATATCCCAGAGCAGTGTTACCAGAATATTAAAACGAAATGCGAATTAATAAATGCATTTAAGTCGAAGGCCACCATTTTGGGCACCTACTATAATTAAAATTTAAAAAATAAATAAATTTAAAAAATAAAACCAAGTATTTTATTAAAAAATTATTGAAGAATCGTGTTTAGAAGAAAAATCAAACAAAATTGATTTTTTCATTACAGCGCCATCTATTACAAATATGAAAAAATGTTTTTGACAAAATCTACCTATTTTTAGTCGAATGATCCGAATCTGCAATAAAAAATAGGGTGTTCCATTGGAAATTTTAAAGTTACCCCCTGTTCCTCCTATAAGGAGGAGAGTGTGAGGACCAATTTTAGTACTGATTGATTTCCCCCCTAGAATCATTTAATTTTTGTTTTAAACATTTTTTCGTAAAATGCATACTAACTGAGATATTTCAAATTAAATGACCCCGTATATTTAAATTTCAATAATTAATTACCAATATAATTTTGTAAAAGACTTGACAATTATATTCAACTTATTTAGTGGTTAAATGTTCCCGGAAATGGGCCAAAACTAAAATTGAAAAATAATTAAAACTTTTGATTTTAAAATATTGATTTTGTTTAAAAGTGATTTATTTTTTATATTAGATTTGTTATTGAACTAAATGGCTACATCAACATATTACTATTTTTGGAATTTTTTACCAATTCCTTGCATCTAGCTGCAAACTTATTGGCTATACTGGAAGTAAGCAAACAAAAAATACAAAAAAAAACAAATTTCCATTAAAATTTTTTCTTTTAGTTTGAAATTTCAATTACTTTTATCTTTGATGTAGTGTTCCTTACTCAAAAAATTGCCGAAATTATGGTGTTACATTATTCTGCTGATGAAATTAAATCACAGGTACGTAAATTATATACAGCGTGTCGGACACGCCGCACCATGGTCAAAAAGCAACGTTTTCCGGAAAAAACTTTTTTTTTAATAAAAATAAATATTATTTCTTTTTTTAATATGTTAAATAGTAGTTATTACGAATTATTAACTACGAGTATATTTTAATCAAAAATTTTAAAGGTTTTTATTTTTTAAATACGTTTTTATTATAAATATATATATTAAATATTATTATAAAGCACTGTTTTGCAGAAATAATTTAAAAACTTTTTTATTAAAAATAAATAATTATTTTTTTCTTCTTTACTGCATTATATTTTTTTATTGCAAAAAATTTTATTTCTATTATTTTTTACTTTATTTTTAAATGCGTTTCAGATGGCCCTAGAGCATCAATAATAATTATTAAGGAAATAATAATAATTAATTTATTCGTTGTAAAAAAAATAATAATATATTTTATTTTAATAATAATACAACAAAATGGACTGGAAGGCAGACGAATCTGATTGTTAATCCAGACCAAGAAAAAAGGCTTTTTCGGAAACTAAATTAATTTATGTTTAGGTTCCTTACAACAATTTAAGAAAGAAAATTAATATCAAAAATATAGGTTTGAACAAAAAAAAAAACAAAAAAAGATTTTATATAAAAAACTATTTACAAAAGCTTCGCAAATATTAAATTTTAAAAAGCAAATTTAAAAGGTTTAATTTTTAGAGTTTTAAGTTGTTCGGGAAGGTTATTGTATAAAGCATAAACGTTATCTGAAAAAGATCGTCTAAATATTGCTGTTATGTGAGCAGGCCTTTAAATATTAAATTTAGGTTATGAAAAGATTTAGTTTATTAAATGTGTGCGTAATTTTTAACCTACTGTGAGGTGTCATAAAATCAAAACATAATCATTTAAAAATATTTCTTTACCAAAATCTATTGCTTTAAGATGTTTTTAACAAATCATCGTCATAAAAATACCCATAAAAAAAAGTTTTTAAAAATGTCCGCCGATAAACCATAGTGCGCCGTGTCCTGAAAATTGCTCACCAAACCCACACCACGATTGCGTTTCATATTAATTTTAAATAAAATTATTTTTAGAGCCTAAATCTGTCACAAGCTATATGCGACTCAACCTACTACAATTTCAACAAAAAATCCAAAGATTGCCTTAGGCTTATGTTACTCGTAAGCCAAAGACCTTTGACTTTGACAATTGGACCCTTCGGAGAAATGTCACTGGTTCCTGCATTAGCTATTTTTAAAACAGCCTATACAATCACTACTTTTTTGCAACAATCCAAAAACAAAAAATAAAAAAATATATGTGCAAAAGTTGATAGAAATAGTTTTTTGGCACGCCTGTTATTGTTAATAATAACAAACATATTTTTTGCTGCATATTTTTAGTAATATTGTTTGAGTAAGAAAATTAGTTTTTAAAAAGCACACATTTTTTTACTTTAAAAAGGAAAAAGTATATTAAGAAGAACTTAAAAAATTGAGAATACTAATATTATTAGGTGGACCACCCTGAATAAAGCTTTCCTAATAACATCTAATATTATATTATGAATATGGTATACCAAACCAATTTAACAAAAAACTCCGACACAAGCTTTATTAATATTAAAACCCTATATATGTACATATGTACATAAAAGGCGACACCTTTGTGCACCATGGTGTTATATGTGAATATATTCGGTTACTATACAGGGCGATTTAAAAAACCTCCGCTAACTATTTGATTATATCAACGAAATCGCTTATATGTCAGTTCGGAGGCATACAAAGGATGATTACGTTGTACAGGATTTTTTCTGTTCAAAACTAAAGACGAAGCCGCACTAAAGATATGAAACAATTACATAGTCTTGCACTACTTATTGGGACTCGCTTGTTATTCTTGTAAGTTTTTTATTTTTCAAACCTGCAAATCCTGCATCCAATGGAGTCAGAAATTAAAGGGTAACAACAAGATTGTGTATTATTGAGCATCAAAATATAATGAAGTAAGTTAAAAAACTTGCTATGATTTTATTTTTTCTTTCAATTACTTTTTAAGAGTTCTTATCATGTTTATTCTGTAAGAAAAATATATACATTTTATTTAAAAATACAAAAAAAAATTATGTTTAAAAAAATACTTCTAAAAGCAATTGCATTATTTTAGGTTAGTACTAGAACTAAACAGAGCTCTACTCAAGTTTTTACTACCATTGGAATTCCAGGCAACACACAGCAAACCTAGTAGCCATCATGGACGTAAGAAAAACAAATTAACAAATAATAATACAATTGACGTTTTTTTGTAGATCGAATTTGGAGGCATATGTTAACTTGTGTACTTATTTCAAAGAGTTTATTATACTGCCGACGAAATAAAATCACAGGTAGGCACACGGAAATGGTGTACTAACTTTATTGTAACTTTTACAAACATTTTGTTGATTTTTAATAAAAATTGATTTTAGAGCCTCAATGTGTCAAACTATTTGCGACTCACACTACTCGTAAGCCAAAGACCTTTGATTTTAACAATTAAACCCTTCGGAGAAATGTCACTGGTTCCTGCATTGAAGATTTTTGAAACAGCCTATACAATCGTTACTTTTGTGCAACACATTAGACATATTAAATAAAAATCATATATATATATAAGTATATTTGTAATGTACATTAGAAATAGTTACTTTTTGGCACACCTCTTGTTGTTAATTATGCAATAAATTGATGAACATTTGTTTTATTTTAACTTTACATATTGTTTGAGAGAAAATTAAAATTTAAAAATTACGAATTGGGCCCTTTAAATTTGTCAACATTTAAATAATACTTCACATATAGGTATGTATACAATTAATTGAAAAAATATTTTTCTACGACCACTTTGTAAAAGTCACTTAAAAAATGAATCTTTTCATTGGCAAGGCAAAACACGAATGTAAAGTGACATTTCTGTGTGAAAAGTGACAGGTCTGTGTGAAAAGAAACGGAAAACATCGTTTGACATTCAGCTGTCAAAAAAGTTTTTAGGTTATTTTGTTTTGTATTTAAAAATAATAAAAAATAAAAGGGTCGCAGAAAAAAACATTGTGTTATACTTGTGAGAAAAGCTTTCTTCAAGCTCGTGTTAATGCACACTCGGCCTAACGGCCTCGTGGGCAACTTAAAAACTCGCATGAAAAAGTCGCTTTTCAACACTTGTAAAACAAATAACTATTGAAATACAATACAACCAATTTAAGGTACAGCTTATCTCAGATAAGTTATCTGTATAGGAAAAGATTTTCCGGAATGTTCGTGAGGTGAAAAGTTTGATTATTTTTATTGAATCAATTCTTTTAATTTAATATTTTAAAATAATTTGTTCATGAAGATTCACAAGTGTGCTTGGTCATAGGATTTTTCTTCCGACCGCAAATGTAACATCTTTTTCTGGTACCAGGAGAGTCCACTTTGGATTTCTTACTTGTTCCTTCTTCATTATTACTGCAGTCTTTCGTTGCACTTACCATATCTGTAGTTCTTTTCTGTAGATCTTTAGGAAAACATGCAATTTTGGATCTATTTTTTATATGATCTCTTGTCAGTTCCAAAGCTAATATTTTTATGAAATCCCGTCGGTTTGTTACTACAGGGTTTTGATTACATCTGCAGATGTAAACAACGTATGCATTGATGGCTGCTATATTTAGTATCGCATATAAAAGTGACATTGTCCAACGGTTGGTACTTCTGGATACTGAATATGTGGCGCAAAGTTTGCCGAGTTCTTGGCTTGTAAACCTGTTGTTGTTGCTGGTAACATTAATGGTACTGCCACCCAATAGTCTTTTTACCACGGATTTAAAGCTATTGTCAATACAGATTTTCAAATTGGCGGTATAGTACAAGTTAGCGTCTACAAGTGCTAGTATCTTTATCCCATATTTCGATGGCTCCCTCGGGACGTACTGACGAAATGGGCACTGGCCCCCGAACTATGATATGGTTACCAACAGAAAAATTCTCTTCGTCTCTTCTTCGTCATCAAAGCTTAGATGTTGCATAAGGAAATTAAATCTATGTCGTGACATTCTTGATCGAAACAGGTCAATGCCGGATCCATCGGTAGCCCAAAGATCTGTAGTGCAGTCTCTTTCTCTGTTATATAACCCCCTTTTGATGGAAATATACTTATTGGTGTTACTGGCGATTATATTTAGCATGTCGTTATCAAAAAAAGTGCTCCAACAGGCCAATACAGATGTTGCATTCCTTGCTGCTCCCTCCACCCCATTGTGTATAGTACCATCTTGACCGAGTACTATAATTGCATTTGGCTTCGTAATATCCTCATCATCTTTGTTGGATGTTTCTTGCTCTCCATCCATTTTCTTCACTTGGTCTTCACCGCCCTCACTGCTATCCGTAAAACACAGTATCCCAAGCAACAATTTAAGTATTTGTTACGTATATGGAACTATTGAAGAAACTTTAAAGTGTTTTGCGACAGTCGCCGGTCTCTTTATATTACTCTTTCATTACTAAATTAGGACTAAAGTGGGGAACAATTATTGAGTTCCAAAAAGGTAGCAAATATGTCACTAGCTTAAACCCTGCTACTATTTGGAACGTAGCTGCTACGTCACTAGAACGTTTTAATATCGTTGCTAGAGCGTTATAATTACTTTTATTTATTTGTTTTTACAGTACTTCTATATTAACTGTCTTTGTCAAACTTATATTAGATTATACTATCCCTCCTTTTTTAAACGGAACCACTACGGACTTGGCTTTTCAATGTCGTCGTTTATTAAATATGTACTTGTAGTTTATTCCAGAATAACAATTAGGTTTATTTAATTATTAATACCGTCTATTACCAACAAAGTTACTATTTATTAAAAAGTAAACAACCATTTACAAACAATTAAAATAATTTATTATTTACATTACCACGTGGTACTGAACAGTAAAAAATGACCGATAAGAAGCATTTTCCTTTGAAGTAGTTTTCGCTACTTTAAAGTTTTTTTCCACCTTAATTTACTTTACGGTAGTTTTGGTTAGTACCATAAACGTTCCAAATACTAAAATAATAACTTTTAAGTTATTAACTTTGTAGTTTTTAACAGGGACTACAAAGTAAAAATAATTATAATGTAATCTTTAGGTAGCAACTGAAAGTAACTGATACAAATTAAATTGACTTGAAAGTTTTTTTACTTATAACACCTTTTTTAAAGTTGCAAAGTCTTCTTGGGGGCAACCAAGTTTTACTTAAATGTTTATTACTTTATAGTAACCATTTAAGGAAAGAATAAAGTTTCTGTTACAAAATATTGCTATTTAAAAGTTAGAATTACTTTTAAGTAAAAATTAAAGTAGCTGTTTAGTATACCTACTTAACTAATTTAAAGTTATCTCCACTTTGGAGGGGCAGGAGGCTGGGGGGCACACTTAAAAACTAACTTTTTTTTCGCAAACTTCAATTTAAATGCTGCTTGCGCAGAACTTGTCTATATAATGCCATTATAAACTCATATAAATTTGATGTGGCTCCCATGTCTAATAACTGAGATATGGGTGTGCCCAAAATCCACCAGCCGCCACTGTAGAATATGGCTGGCGTCTGTTAGGGGCTCAAGTAAGAGAAGAAAGTTTATTTCATCTCAATACAATTTGCATTTAGGTACTTAATTTCAAAACAACATAGAGCATCATCAATGATGATTCATTATGAACAAGCAATGCAATAGATTGGCGGCCGTATTTTTAGTAGCTCAAGTAAGAGAAGAAAGTTTATTTCATCTCAATACAAATTTGCAATGATTTAGGTACTTAATTTCAAAACAACATAGAGCATCATCAATGATGATTCATTATGAACAAGCAATGCAATAGATTGGCGGCCGTATTTTTAGTGGCGCCAACATATTAAGCATATTAACAGCCAGCGCACAGTGTCACATTCGGGAAAATGAAGATCAAAATATTTTTTTGAATAAATTGACTTTTGGTTGGATTTTTATAAATGTTTAGAGTTTTACATTTAAGACAGGCAGTGCACTTTTTAATTTTGTTCACGTTTTTTTCAGAATAATGTGTTTAGCTAGCTTTATATATCTCCATTACCAATTTGAAATCAAAAATTTAATTCAATAAAAAAAGTTGTTATAAAAATAATTTAAAATAAAATGTACTTAATTCACAAACTTTTGACGATTTTTTATTTTATTTTTTATTAAAAATTGTATGCTTTTTTTAATATGTATGTTCGTTAAGTTACTTTTTAAAAGAAACCATTCCGTTTCTTTGTTAAAAAAACAATACCATTAATATTTTATTTTAGTCACTGTATTAGTGAATTAAACTCTAATTTATAAACACGTTTTACCAAGTGATAGTGTATAAAAATCATTTTAAGTATTTTTTTTAACAAAAACTAAAAAAAGTAACGAAATAGACATTGGTATCACAACGGACAGGGGTACACAAAGGACTTAATCAGATAACGTAAAAAAGAAATTATATAGGGTGGTACGATTTTAGAGTAATGCATAAACAAAATCCCTTGTAATGGTGCTCACTTGCAGAATAACAACTTAGATTTCTAAATTGTAGACACCCTTTTTCTTTGACTATAAGCTGGTGAAGGTCCCTTTTAGTACTTTTATATTGCGTCAAATTTTTCCTTGGATGTAATCTATATCATGAGTTGTAATTACAAATAACTTTAAATTGGTTAATCATAAACTACTTTTAATAAAAGCGACGGTAAATATCCACTTTGTTGTCGAAAAATTCTATTGCGTTACCCTAGTGGACTCGGTAACGCAGTAAAACCATATTTAAAAAATAATAATAAGACATTACAGTTATTAATTACTCTCAATGAGCTTTAGTGCCCTAAAATAAACATAAACATGAAAAATAGTATTTTTGCTTACCTTATTTTTATTATTTTTTTGAGTACATAACTTAGCGGACAAACAATTATTACATTCACGTTACCCGCACCTGTTTCAACCGATATCTTCTTCCTGATTGAATAAATAAATTCAGCTGAGTAATGTGTACGTCCGAACATTATTTGTTTATCACGTGAGTACCAAAAAAGTTGCCATATATGTTTTTTTTAATATTCTATCTGTAACGCAACGGACGTAACGCAACGGAAAAAATGTCTGAGTCAAATTTAAAAAAGTAGATTAAAATTAATTATTTTATATATAAATTGTTTTGTGATGTTATGGATTGCTATAAAGCAACACAAAGTTCTAGTTATTCAATATTAAAAAAAAAACATGTATGTAAGTTTTATAAAACGCTAATGGGACATGCGAAAATGTGTGTTTCACAAGTTTCACAATTAAAAAAAAATATTCTGAAATAACTAAACAAAAATTTTCTGAAAGAATTTACTAAGGGCTTGTTAGGCTTTCACTTGGTTTTTAAATCAATAAGATCCGATAATTTTTAACAAAGTTATTGGGAATTCAAACTTACCGACAGCGGAAGGCGGGTGTTTTTTGAAAACGACCCATTTATTTAAATCAACTGTGGAAAGGTTAATATAAACAAAGATTAGTTTGACGGTACTAAACCAGATAGTTATTTTTTTTTTAAATTGCTTAAATTAACCCAGAAGAAAACTTTAGTGAAACCAGTATTGTTCAGATTACTAAATATGTTGTTTGTAAAATAAGAGTTACTTTAACCTAAAGCACTCTGTTAAAACGATTAAAACAATTTGCCGTGCATTCCTGGTTGCATAGTGTGTACCAATCGCGGCAAAGGCGGTGTGGATCACGTAATGTTGTTAAATCTCGCCTCTGTTGACTTACATATAAGCTCAGGTAGTCCTTTGCATTGGTGTGACACTAAAAGTTGTTCGATACTAAAGAGACCTTAAATAGGTGGAAACAGCTGTCAATACTTGAAGTATTTTAAGTTGGTGGAACGCACTAAAAACATTTTCTCTAGCGAGTTGAAGGTTCAATTTTCTGGAATAATACCACTGGTAATATACTAGTAATGCGTCAAGGAACTTCCTGTTTCCTTTTTTTTTCTGTTTAGTATGATTTAATGTGTCCAAAAACACATAATATTTAACACTGAAAAGAAGTTTAACTTACACCAGGTAATATTTATTTTAATACTGAAAGTTAAAGTTACACTATTTTAGTATTTGAATTTTCACTGGACCAACGAACCTTATTAACACCATTTTGGTTTGTATCGATATAGACGATGTATGGTGTTAATTTGGTGTTAAAATGGTCATGAAATTTTGAACAGTGTACTAACTCCATTGTAACTTTTGTAATTTTGTTGATTTTTAATAAAACTTTATTTTAGAGCCTCAATCTGTCTCAAGCTATTTGCGACTCAAACTACTACAATTTCAACAAAAAATCCAAAGATTGCCTTAGGCTTATGTTACTGGTAAGCCAAAGACCTTTGGTTTTAACAATTGGACCTTTTGGAGAAATGTCACTGGTTCCTGCATTGAAGATTTTAAAAACAGCCTATACTATCATTACTTTCGTAAAACAAACACATCCCAGTAAATAAGAAATATGTTGTTTTTTTAAAATATTTGTTTTTTCTTTGGCTTTTGACATTGTTTAAATTTAAACTTTATGTACATAGATAAATTTGCACGCCCCATTCATAGAAAGAATTTCTTAGTAAAGTAACACGTTGTTTTAACTTCTATGCATTAAAATAAAATTGCATTTTCTACTTTGAGACAATTGGTTTAATCAAAGACTATTCGTTTCGCTCTGATCAGAATAAAATATTCTAATTAGGTATTTCCATTTATTTTAAAGCAAATTGTTTTAAGAAAAATCAACGTTTTATTACATTTAATAATGTCTGTGGTTTAGGAGTAAAACTTATACTTAATTTTGTATTAAAGATAGAGATGTAAAAAAACGGTTTTTTTTTTCAGATGTGAAAAGAAACATGAAAAAAAACGGTTTTTTTTGTTTTTTTTCAAAATGAAATTTGGAGTAAAATGTAGATCGATTTTTTTTTATTTCTTTTTTGGTCCACGGAATGTTCTGACCACCAATGAAGAAGAATTTGATATTTGAAAAAAAAAATTCCATACTCTACATAAATTTGAAAAATCATGAAAAAAGTGCTTTTGGTAGCTTTTTGAAAAATCAAGCGGTGGTTGTGGCGAGTGCATAACGCGAGACTGTATTTACATTTAATAATTGTCATATAGTGGCTAATTTTAGTCCATGAAACATAAAAAATTAGGCAAATAGGACTAATCTTAAAAAAAAACCTAAAATGTGAAAAAAAAACCTTTTGAAAAAAAAACTATGAAAAAACCTGAAAAAAAAACAAACCCCGATAAAAATTTACTCACTAATACGAACCTAAAAAATACCAGCAAAAACAGCGAATTTTTTTGTAGGAATTTATTTCAATAATACAGTCAGTTTTTAAGTAAAATTAAATCGATTTGTGCATTTTTCCTCAAATGTCTTGTTAGTATTTCAAACCTCCATAATTTCTAAACGAGTCGATCGATTTTCTAAAAGTAATCAGCAATGAAAAGGGAATCAAAAACCCTTTTTAATGAGGTGTAATATGACCCCATTCCCATTTAAAAAACACTCATAATCCCTCTTAAAATATCTTTATTAAAATTTATTTCTAAAAATATAAGATCAAATTGAATAAAACAATAAATGTCTTTATTTATTTTTATATTTATTTTTATTCATAAATAATAAACATTTTTTGTAAGTTTAAGGTAAAAATCTATTAAAATTAAGTAAATTAAGAAATATTTAATAACAAACCTCATTTAAACATCAAATGTCTTGGTTGAAAGTTGTTTTTCATAAAAATCAAAATGAGTATACAAAATATTCATTTTTAAAGACATATGCACGTCGAATACAACAAAATTTGTTTAATGACCTGAAGCGATTTTTGCATAGCACATTTTTGATCACCGCACGAACAGACTCCCATTTAATGCTGGTTCACTCAAAATTTCCGTTTTCGTACAGGGCCGTTAAGTACACCTAAAAATTAATAAATTTTTATAAAAATGATTTAAAGTAAATTTACTTAACTTAAGTTAAATATTTATATCAAGTGTTCTTGAGTAATTAATTAAAAATATAGCAAAATGGTCAAACAAAAAACTTAAATATTTAATATCTTGAGAAAACGAGCTAACTTTGAAAAACTGATTACACTACTGAATTCTACACCCAAAAATTAGGTTTACGTGTCCCGGCGTTTTTATGTGTCTTTTTAAAAGTTTGAAATTTACCTACAGTGTAATTTGGCTAACAAGTATGGTTTCACTGTATTTATGCAATATTAATTAACTTTCAAACTACATGTCATGATAAATTAAACATACTCTGGGATAATATAAAGTAGGGGAGGATTTAACAACCGCCTACTCCAAAAAACACTCAGACAGGTCGATTGTTATTTTTAGTTGCGCATTTTTTTCAACAAAAACTTTTTTACAGGGTTTGACATTTAGCAGTTAAGTGGCCAATATCAACTTTCTTATTTCAAATGCAACACCATGTATTATTCTGGATCCTTCTTAAAATTGTAGACATATTCTATGTACAATACCTATCTTCAACTGTTTTGGAAATATTATAAAATTAACATTAAATACCGATAATTATTTGATTAGAGAAATTCGCTACACAATATTTAATTTTTTGTAGATACTTTTATAAACAATTGTTATAGCTATTAGTTGAGTTTTATCAGGTTAGGATCCAGAAACAATTGTTAGGAAATTTTCTATTTTTATGTTTATTTTCTGATATCCAAAGGTAAATTCAACATTTTTCCCAGTACTAAAGCTACTCTTGGTACTATGGTTTTTAAAATTGGGGGATGGCAACCCTATAGTCATAGATGCACTGCCCGACAAAATTAACGCATAATAAGTAAAAAAAATTCTAACTCTAAAATGCCTTTACCTATCTAGGGTTTTTCTAGAAAATATTTTTAAAGTCCTTTTTATTTAATAATGATTATTTCCCTCGTTATAATATGAACCAATCAAAAGCCTTGCATTTTCGAATAAATTTCGTTTAAATAAGCGATTAAATCACTAGAACTATTTAACAGCGATTAAATTTTAGCCTCCATATTGGATTTTTGTTTACGATTTTATGGTGTTATTTAAGTTTTAACAAACATTTTTTTAAAAACAATAAAATAATGAAATTTTCTTTAAAAAAATATTTATAAATTTTGACACATACGTCAGATTTTATGAATTGTCAAATAGTTTCCTTTAATTCGAGAAATAATCTAGACGTATATCACTCAACCTATAAATTTAATCTGTCAAACTATGCTCAGTAAGTTTATTATTTGATTTTTCTTTTTGGAAAATAGTTTCATGCAAAATAATTAAAAATAAAACCCCTCGACCGCTACGCGGCCTCGTAATTTTATTAAATTATTTTGCATTCAACATTTTCGAACAAAAACCAAACAAAAAACCACTGAGCCTAGTTTAACCGATTAAATTCATAGTTCTCGTGATATAATATATGATTATTTCCCTCATTATAATATGAACCAATCAAAAGCCTTGAATTATCGAATAAATTTCGTTTAAATAAGCGATTAAATCACTAGAACTATTTAACGGCAATTAAATTTCAGCCTCCATATTGGATTTTTGATTACGATTTTATGGTGTTATTTACAAGTTTTAACAAACATTTTTAAAAAAACAATAAAAAATAAGTTATCTAGTTTACGAAATATCAATTATTACTTATTACATACGTCAGATTTTATGAATTGTCAAATAGTTTCCTTTAATTCGAGAAATAATCTAGACGTATATCACTCAACCTATAAATTTAATCTGTCAAACTATGCTCAGTAAGTTTATTATTTGATTTTTCTTTTTGGAAAATAGTTTCATGCAAAATAATTAAAAATAAAACCCCTCGACCGCTACGCGGTCTCGTGTTTTTATTAAATTATTTTGCATTCAACATTTTCCAACAAAAACCAAACAAAAAACTACTGAGCCTAGTTTAACCGATTAAATTCATAGTTCTCGTGATATAATAGGTATATGAAAAAACGTTCGAAAAATAACTTTTAGGGAAATTGTTTATTAAGTAAATAAAAAATGTGCTGTTCAAGACCGTATTTTTGTTAGTATACCCTGAAAATCAAATGAACAGCAACGAAGATACAGCGATTCAGTCATCAAAAATTACCACTTTTCAGCAAAATAATTAAAGCCATTTTTACTGACTTTGAAGCGTTTAATTTGTACAAAATTTTCAGGGTATACTAACAAAAATATAATAATAACGTTTTTTCATTATTAAATAAAAGGGCTTTAAATAAATTTTCTCGAAAAACCCTCTAACACATAAATTGAGATATAAGTTAAAAGTATTTTTATCCAAAATTTCATAAAGAATAATAAAGACGTTTTAGATTTTTTTTAAAGTGGTTCCAAAAATTATGGCCAACACTGTATTTGCAAAAAATGTTTGTGCAACATTATATTACATTTATAAATTATATTTAAATGCCTTAAAATCAATATTATTATTTATTATTTAAATAAAACTTTCACACATAACAAGAAAAACTTATTCCTCTTTTTGTTTTAATCAATATTCAATTAATATATATCCAGTCATATTTTGCAACCCGTGCCTTACGGTTGCTAAAGTGATGGATCCAAATTCAAACTGGGCAGTAGTAAGAATTATGATGCTGTTATGCGGTACTTGGCCCGCAGAACTAATTCCAGCTGGTAAATTAAGGGCGTTCTACAAAGTCACCAAAATAATTCCGTTGATATTTTTATTCATATTAATATTAAGTTTAAGTGTTGGTTTATATTTGCTCATTACACAGGGCAATTTAAAAAACCTACCGGTGGCTTCATCGATGTACATCGTACATGTTATAGTATTGATAAAATCGCTTATATGTCAAAACGGGGGCATAAAAAAGATGATTAAGTTGAACGTGGAACAGGATAATTTTTTATACAAATCTACAGACAAAGGTATACATAAGATAAGAAACAATTACATTGCCACAGTCAAGTTTTGTATGAAGGCTTTTGTATATTACACACCCTTTTTTTGGGTAGTATTGGTATCAACTTACTTTTTGGAATACTATGTCTTCTGGAACGAAGAAAAAGCAAAGTTAATGAACCGTGAACAACTTTATCAGACTTATTTAATATTTGACACGAGCAAGCATTATTTGTGGGGTCTTCTTTGCAATGCTTTTTTATGTTATATCGTATGCATATATTTCGTTGCATACGACACAATGATGATAAGTTTTCTTTTTAACATCTCTATAAAACTGAAAATCCTTCAGAATTTTCTAAGGAACCTCGACAAGTACGCCAGCAATATCAGGAAGATTCATAAGGAATTAAATGAAGATCAGGCTATTTTCGTAGCAGTTAGATTATGCATCATCGAGCATCAAAATATAATGAAGTAAGTATACTTACTTATTATAATAATACTACTTATATATTATTATTATAATACTTATATAATTGTGAGATATATACATTAGCGTGGTTCTTATTTGACCGATGTCGAAATTTTAATCGTGCTGCCCCTCATTTGTTTTTAAAAAATATAAAAAAAATGTATACCAAATTTGAATGTCCTAACTTATTTCCTTCTATTGCCTGTAACAACGAGAAGTTTTCCATGGAAAAATCTGCAGATAGAGGATTTTTGCCTTTAATGTACTTTTTCATGGATTAATAGTAATTTTAAAAAATTAATACATTAAAGGCAAAAATCCTCTATCAAGAAAACTTCTCGTTGTTACAGGCAATAGAAGGAAATCTAACTGGACATTCAAATTTAGCCTACATTTTTTTTATATTTTTTAAAAACAAATGAGGGGGCGGCGCAATTAAAATTTTGACATTGTATAAATATATATATATATATATATATATATACAGGGTGAGTTATTTAACTTGAAACTTGAAATATCTCAGTTAGTATGACCTTACGAAAAAATGTTTAAAATAAAAATTAAATGATTTGAGGGGGGAAATCAATCAGTACTAGAATTGCTCCTCATACTCTCCTCCTTATAGGGGGAACAGGGGGTAACTTTTCAATGGAACATCCTATTTTTTATTGCCTATTCGGATCATTCGACTAAAAATAGGTAGATTTTGTCTAAAACATTTTTTCATTTTTGTAATAGATGGCGCTGTAATGAAAAAAAATCAATTTTGTTCGATTTTTCTTCTACAATATTTTTCTATAAAAATATCACTTTTTTGGTAATAATTATCTTACATTATCTACATTAAATCTGATTTTTTTAAGTACCCACGATTTTTTAACTTTGGTTTAAGTTTTATACATTATTTCATTCGGTGATAATTATCAATTGCGCACCATGGTCACTTTTTACCAACCAGCATTAAATCCTTTAATTTAAAGGATTATTGTACTATTTTTAATAAAAAACCTCATTTAAGGTAAAAAAATATATTATTTTGTCAATTAATTAATTTAATCCTAATTGAGGTATAAAAAATGGTATTTAGTTATAAATAATAATTATTATTGAGGTATAAAGAAAATATTTATACATAGTTTACCATTATTTAATAAATTTAGTTCGAAGATTAATTTGCAAACAAAAAGACTTTCTTTCGTTAAGCAGTTATTCATAATGGATTTTTCAACAGTGGAAGAAAATAGAAATGATTTTGATTTATGGAGAAGCAGGCAGGAATCTTGATGATGCTGTTAATATCTACGCTCAGCGTTTCCCAGATAAAATTCGATCACGTTCTTCATTTCACCGTACAGTCAAGCAGTTTACTACAAACGGGAGTGTTCAACCGAAAAAAAGAGTTAGTCGTTCAACAGTCAAAGGTGGAAATAATGAAATTAATGTATTAGCAGCAACGGCCGCTAATCCTCATGCAAGCACAAGAGAATTATCTAGATATTTGAGAATATCCCAGAGCAGTGTTAGCAGAATATTAAAACGAAATGCGAATTGAAAAATGTTTTAGACAAAATCTACCTATTTTTAGTCGAATGATCCGAATCTGCAATAAAAAATAGGGTGTTCCATTGAAAATTTTAGTTACCCCTCTGTTCCCCCTATAAAGAGGAGAGTAAGGGGACCAATTTTAGTACTGATTGATTTCCCCCCTCAAATCATTTAATTTTTTTAAAATATTTTTTCATTTAAATTTTAATAATTAATTACCAAAATGTTTTTGTAAAAGACTTGACAATTATATTCAACTTATTTAGTGGTTAAATGTTCCCGGAAATGGGCCCAAACTAAAATTGAAAAATAATTGAAACTTTTGATTTTAAAATATTGATTTTGTTTAAAAGTGATTTATTTTTTATATTAGATTTGTTATTGAACTAAACAGCTACATCAACATATTACTATTTTTGGAATTTTTTACCAATTCCTTGCATCTAGCTTCAAACTTATTGGCTATACTGGAAGTAAGCAAACAAAAAACACAAAAAATAAAATTTCCATTAAAATATATTCTTTTAGTTTGAAATTTCAATTACTTTTATCTTTGATGTAGTGTTCCTTACTCAAAAAATTGCCGAAATTATGGTGTTACATTATTCTGCTGATGAAATTAAATCACAGGTACGTAAATTATATACAGCGTGTCGGACACGCCGCACCATGGTCAAAAAGCAACGTTTTGCGGAAAAAATTTAATAACTTTTTTAATACAAATAAATATTTTTTTTCTTTTTTTAATGTGTTAAATAGTAGTTATTACGAATTATTAACTATATTTTAATCAAAAATTTTAAAGGTTTTTATTTTTTAAATACGTTTTTATATAATCATAATGCACTGTTTTGCAGAAATAATTTTTAAACTTTTTTATTAAAAATAAATATCTATTTTTTTCTTCTTTACTGCATTATATATCTAATAATTTTTTATTGCAAAATATTTATTTTTATTATTATTTTTTACTTTATTTTTTAAATGCGTTTTAGATGGCCCTAGAGCATCAATTAAGGAAATAATAATAATTGATTTATTTGTTGTAAAAAAAATAATACATTTCATTTTAATAATAATACAACAACATGGACTGAAAGGCAGACGAATCTGATTGTTAATCCAGCCCAAGAAAAAAGGTTTTTACGGAAACTAAATTAATGTATTTGAAAGGTTCATTAAACAATTTAAGAAAGTAAATTAATATCATAAATATAGGTTTGAACAAAAAAAACAAAAAAAGATTTTATGTAAAAAAACTATTTACAAAAGCTTCGCAAATATTAAATTTTAAAAAGCAAATTTAAAAGGTTTTATTTTTAGAGTTTTAAGATGTTCGGAAAGGTTATTGTATAAAGCATAAACGTTATATGAAAAAAGTCGTCTAAATATTGCTGTTTTGTGAGCAGGCCTTTAAATCTTAAATTTAGGTTATGAAAAGATTTAGTTTATTAAATTTGTGCGTAATTTTTAGCCTACTGTGAGGTGTCATAAAATCAAAACATAATCATTTAAAAATATTTCTTTACCAAAATATATTGCTTTAAGATGTTTTTAACAAATCATTGTCATAAAAATACCCATAATACAAAGTTTTTAAAAATGTCTGCCGATAAACCATAGTGCGCCGTGCCCTGGAAATTGCTCACCAAACCCACACCACGATTGCGTTTCATATTAATTTTAAATAAAATTATTTTTAGAGCCTAAATCTGTCACAAGCTATTTGCGACTCAACCTACTACAATTTCAACAAAAAATCCAAAGATTGCCTTAGGCTTATGTTACTCGTAAGCCAAAGACCTTTGACTTTGACAATTGGACCCTTCGGAGAAATGTCACTGGTTCCTGCATTAGCTATTTTTAAAACAGCCTATACAATTACTACTTTTTTGCAACAATCCAAAAACAAAAAATAAAAAAATATACGTGCAAAAGTTGATAGAAATAGTTTTTTGGCACGCCTGTTATTGTTAATAATAACAAACATATTTTTTTGCTGCATATTTTTAGTAATATTGTTTGAGTAAGAAAATTAGTTTTTAAAAAGCACACATTTTTTTACTTTAAAAAGGAAAAAGTATATTACGAAAAACTTAAAAAATTGAGAAAAAATTTTTTTGGTAGAATACTAATATTATTAGGTGGACCACCCTGAATAAAGCTTTCCTAATAACATCTAATATTATCATTATGGTATACTAAACATCTATATTATCATTATGGTATACCAAACCAATTTAACAAAAAACACTAGCTTTATTAATATTAAAACCCTATATACGTACATAAAAGGCGACACCTTTGTGGTGTTGTATGTGAATATATTCGGTTACTATACAGGGCGATTTAAAAAACCTGTTCGGAGGCATACAAAGGATGATTAAGTTGTACAGAATGTTTTCTGTTCAAAACTAAAGACGAAGCCGTACTAAAGATATGAAACAATTACATAAGCCAAGTTGCACTACTTATTGGGTCTCACTTGTTTTTTATTTTTCAAACCTGCAAATCCTGCAGTTTTTAAAGGAACCTATGGAGTCAGAAATTAAAGGGTTACAACAAGATTGTGTATTATTGAGCATCAAAATATAATGAAGTAAGTTAAAAAACTTGGTATGATTTTATTTTTTCTTTTAATTACTTTTTAAGAGTTGTTATCATGTTTATTCTGTAAGAAAAATATATACATTTTATTTAAAAATACAAAAATCAATTATGCTTAAATAAACTTCTAAAAGCATTTGCATTATTTTAGGTTAGTACTAGAACTAAACAGAGCTCTACTCAAGTTTTTACTACCATTGGAATTCCAGGCAACACACAGCAAACCTAGAAAAACAAATTAACAAATAATAATACAATTGACGTTTTTTTGTAGATCGAATTTGGTGGAATATGTTTCTGTTAACTAGTGTACTTATTTCAAAGAGTTTATTATACTGTCGACGAAATAAAATCACAGGTAGGTACACGGAAATGGTGTACTAACTTTATTGTAACTACAAAAAATTTGTTGATTTTTAATAAAAATTGATTTTAGAGCCTTATCCTAAGCCAAAGACCTTTGATTTTAACAATTGAACCCTTCGGAGAAATGTCACTGGTTCCTGCATTGAAGATTTTTTAAACAGCCGGCTGCAGCCTATACAATCGTTACTTTTGTGCAACACATTAGACATATTAAATAAAAATCATATATGTATATACATACACTCACGTGCAAAATAATCGATCCACACAAATTTTCGATGAATTTCAATCTCAAATAACTTTTTTATTTGATGTCGGATTTAAACGAATATTAAAGAATATTGTAGATAAATGAATGGACAATCGCTCACAAAATTACTAAAAATAGACTTACGTTTATAATATACAGGTTTAAACAAAAAGATGTTTTTTACCATAAGTTTAAGACACTCTGTAGAGTGGCAAAACAGTATATTGTTCTAAATTAAGTTTTATTTATCAAGTCACATCTATTCTTAACAGTTTTTGGTTCACCTCGATATATTTATTTTTGTGGAAAATATGGATTTTTTTAAAAAACATTGCAATTTCCAATATTTTTCTGTATGAAGAACTAAGGTTGGTATGGTCCATCCATAGGCTATGGAGAATGACAGTGACAGTTTTGTTGAATCATCCCATACTTGGACATGTCATACACGGCTTTCAAAAGCGATCAAATTGTTTTTTGCAAATTACTGTTTAAATTTTGAGGTGTCTTTTTACTTTATAAAATGGACATGTCTCCGACTGATGTTGCCAGAGCTATTAATTTAATCCACGATGGACGGTCACAGTATTGCGTGGCAAGTGTTTTAAACGTCATAAGAAGTAAAGTACAAAGGGCAACATCAGTCGGAGACATTTTTAAAAGTAAGAAGACACCTCAAAATTAACACATTAATTTACAAAAAACAATTTGATAGCTTTTGAAAGCTGTATATGACATGTCCAAGTATGGGATGATTCAACAAAACTGTCACTGTCATCCTCCATAGGCTATGGATGGACCATAGCAACCTTAGTTCTTCATACAGAAAAATATTGGAAATTGCAATGTTTTTTTAAAAAAATCCATATTTTCCACAAAAATAAATATATCAAGGTGAACCAAAAACAAAACTGTTAAAAATAGATGTGCCTTGATAATTAAAACTTAATTTAGAACAATATACGGTTTTGCCACTCTACAGAGTGTCTTAAACATATGGTAAAAAACATCTTTTTGCTTAAAACCTGTATACTATAAACGTACGTCTATTTTTTAGTATTTTTTTAAAATGTGAGCGATTGTCCATTAATTTATCTACAATATTCTTTAATATTCGTTTAAATCCGACATAAATAAAAAAAGTTATTTTCGATTGAAATTCATCGAAAATTTGCGTGGATCGATTATTTTGCACGTGAGTGTATATATAAGTATATTTATAATGTACATTAGAAATAGTTACTTTTTGGCACGCCTCTTGTTGTTAATTATGCAATAAATTGATGAACATAACAATTGTTTTATTTTACTTTACGGTAGTTTTGGTTAGTACCATAAACGTTCCAAATACTAAAATAATAACTTTTAAGTTATTAACTTTGTAGTTTTTAACTCGGGTTCCAGTTTCGAGATTTTATCTTGAAAAGGGACTACAAAGTAAAAATAATTATAATGTAATCTTTAGGTAGCAACTGCAAGTAACTGATACAAATTAAATCTTCTTGGGGGCAACCAAGTTTTACTTAAATGATTATTACTTTATAGTAACCATTTAAGGATGAAGTTTCTGTTACAAAATATTGCTATTTAAAGTTAGAATTACTTTTAAGTAAAAATATAAGTAGCTTTTTAGTATACTTAACTAATTTAAAGTTATCACCACTTTGGTAATGGTTTTTGGAACCAAAAATGCTGCTTGGGATAAAATCTATAAGTAATACTTGATTATTTTAATAAAATTTGAAATTTGTCAAAAAACATCAGTGAATTAAATATTGTACCACTTTAATTTGAATTATCTTAATTTGGGGGGCAGGAGGCTGGGGGGCACACTTAAAAACTAACTTTTTTTCGCAAACTTCAATTTAAATTCTGCTTGCGCAGAACTTGTCTATATAATGTCATTATAAACTCATATAAATTTGATGTGGGTCCTACAAAGGCGTAGAAGGGCCAACAAAAATTATATAAGTTTTAGCCAAAACATAATTATAGAATAGAAATTGCAAAAATCAAAGTTACAATTATTGTAACTTGAACTTACAATTGTAACTTGAACTTACAATTGTAACTTGAACTTACAATTGTAACTTGAACTTACAATTGTAACTTGAACTTACAATTCAAATCAAATCAAATCAAATCAAATCATCTTTATTGTTAACATTTTTTTAAATTTCTATAAAATAATATTAGGTGATTCGCCTAAACTTGCGCGCTTGTGTGCGAATCATAGCCTTAATTAAAACTAATCTTAAAATTAATTATAATGACATTTAGAAATAAAATAATAATAATGATAATATTGTACTGGGGAGGTAGGAAAATATAGAGCGACTTAGACTTAGAGGATGGTAAGTAGGTTTCTTAATATATATGACCTAATGTTTTTTTTTAAATGTTTGAAATTTTTGGCTTTTATAATTATGTGGTATTTGATTATACATTGTGGGTCCTAAGTAAAAAATTGATCTTTGTGTATGAACTGTTTTACAACAAGGTGGTAATAACGGGTTGTGGGATCTGGTTTCGTAAGGATGCATTAATCTTGACATGTTATTTTGATTTGCCCCCGGGCCCCCAATATACTCTAAGAAAAAGTAATACCTATGTATATCAAACAAACTCCAAAACTACAAATATGCACATTTAAACATTTCAAAATCAATATTTAATTTGTCACCATTTCTTTCGAACATAAAAAATGTGAACGCCCAAACAATTGTCAACCCTGTCGAAACCTCAGTGATTGCCCGTTTTAATGGGAATTTCCGGTTATTAACGAGTCTTTGTTGTTTCACTTTTTACGTTTGAGTTTTGAGTTGATATTTAAAATATTAAAATGAGTAGTTCGCGCAAATATCTGAGTGGGGCTCAAAAAAGAAAACTAGTTGAAAAAAAGGAGGAGGAGAAGAAGAAGATTGCCAAAATTGATACGTTTTTTCAAAAAAAAAGTTTTATCAACTTCTGAAACGCCATTAACATCCGCAACCTCATCATCAAAAACAGAAGTGTATGATGATGAAACTATCCTACCAGACATTGAAGGTGAAAATATTCCCGAAAACAAAGATTCAGATTTTGAGTCAAGTCTCGAATCAGGCTCAATATTCTCCAGTGACTTAGCGCTTTTTTAAAACACTGAATTAAGTGATGATCTAAAAAAGCAGCTTGTGCATGTTGGTCCGTATAGGTCCGAAAGGCCTATAAGTGGTTTTGCAAAAGACGACTTAAACCGATCATTTAGTGAAGTGTATTATAAGAAAAGGACATCATCTGGACAGTTGTTGGAACGGTAAGTTAAAAAATTTGCTTTAGAATAGAAAAAAGAAGATACACTTGCTTGCTTGCTCTATTTCGAGCACTCCGGCTGCGCCGTCGTGCTAGAAAAATCGCGCATGTTTTAAAGACCTTTTTATCCACTTTTATATACTATTATATTTTCTTTCAATATTTCACGCTAAAAAATAAAAAAACACTGTTTTCCAATACAAGTGTTTTATTTTTTTATTTAAGATTCTGGATATCCTACTCAGTGACTTTAAATGGAGTATACTGTCATCCTTGCTGGTTGTTTGCGGATAGGAGCAGTACCTCTTTCAACCCTGCTTGGACCACGGGAATGTTGAATGATTGGAAAGGCCTTTCAAAAAAAATTTTGACACACGAGAATGCAAGAGTTCATCTCGATGCATGTTTGGTGTATTAGACGTGGAAAGCTAATAAGACGGTGGATATATGTTTAAATGAAGATATACATAGATTAAAAGCTCTACTGAAAAGGATTATTGACGTAACTAGAACAATTGCCATGTCTTCTCTGCCTTTCCGAGGTCATCGAGATATTTTTTCTTTAGATGAAAATAAACTAGAAGCTGACTCCTCAAAAGGCGTTTTTTTAAATATTGTCAAACTTTTAGCCAGATATGACCCAGTTCTTGAGTTGCATATTAATAGAATTAAGAAAGGAACTAGACATTATTTAAGTAATACATCGCAAAATCAATTTATTTCTCTTATTGCTGATTCAATATTGCAATCAATTGTTGAAGATATCAAGGACAGCCCATTTTTTTCAATCATCGTTGATACGACACAGGATATAAGTAGAAAAGATCAACTTAGTCTTGTTTTTAGACATATTAAGCTCAAAGAAAACAAATTTAAGGTTGAAGAATCATTTCTGGGATTTTACGAAATGACAGGCCAGTGTGCAAAAGATTTTGAAAGTGAAATTTTAAAAGTTCTACAGAAGTATGAAATTTCCCTAGACAAATGTAGAGGCCAGAGTTATGATGGTGCTGCAAATATTAGCGGTAAGAACATTTAAATTATGTTTTTTCGACAACTAATATACATTGTACACTATACTTTTTATTGATTAAAAAAATAAAGTTGTCTTAAAAGTTCAATCATCATTAATAATATTATGGAACCTTATAAAAATAAGTTTTTTTGCAGGGAAATACGCAGGTCTGCAAGCTCTAATCAAACAACGACAACCAAATGCCGATTATGTCCATTGCACTGCTCATAGCTTAAATCTTATTTTAAATAAATGTAAGCAACATTGCCGAAATAAGAAATTTTTTTGACACAGTTCAGTCTCTCTACGTATTTTTTAGTGAAAGTCTACCTCGTTGGCAAAGCTTAAACTCCGAAATAAAAAGAAGTGAAACTGTTGGCTTAACTCTAAAAAAATTATGTCCAACTAGATGGTCGTCAAGATCCGATAGTATAATATCGTTAAAAAATAATTTTTTGTCGGTTGTCAAGTGTTTATCAAATTTAACATTAATAGCCAAAAAACGCAGTGATAGAGATGAGGCCAAGATATTACAAAATAAAATAGAAAATTTTGAATTCATTTTCTTGCTATGTTTTCAAGGTACTATTTTGGAAAATATTAATATGCTTTCAAAATATTTGCAAAAGAATGACATTGACATAGGACAGGCAACAGATCTAATATCAGGAGTTCTTGCCAAATTAGAGAGTCTCAGAGAAAATTTTGAAAATGTGTATGAGTTATCTATTTCAACTGCGAAATCTTGGAATATTGACCCTTAACTGAAATGCAAAAGAGTCCGTACAGTCAAAAAATTTTTTGATGAGATTGCAGCGGATGAGCCAATTAAAAATAATAAAAATCGTTTAAAAGTTACAATTTTTAATGCTTGTTTGGATATAATATTAACTCAGTTTAGAATCAGGTATGAAGCATTTAAAAATATTTATTCGAAATTTGAAATTTTAAACCCACAAACATTGATAAACGCGCAAGAATCTGATATTTTAGCTTATGTCAGAGTATTAATAGAGAAATATCCTAACGACTTAACTCAAAATCTAGGATTGGAACTAATACAATTAAAAAATTTACTTTACGAAAAGATTAAAAATTTTCATAGCATAAGAAAGTTTTCAGATTTTATTTTTGAAAAAAATCAATTACTAATAAGTAGTATACCTGAAATTTGCACTGCGTTCCAGTTGTTTCTAGTACTTCCCGTTACATCGGCTCAACCAGAAAGGACTTTTTCAAAGTTGAAGATAATAAAAAGCTTTACGAGGTCTAGTATGGTACAAAATCGCCTTAGCTCATTGGCCCTAATCTCAGTATAAAATGAACGAGCGAAAGATGTAGATTTAGACAAAATAGTTGACAAGTTCCTTTCGTTAAGGTACAAACGTTAGGATATTTTATAAGTAGTTTTTAAAATAATGCATATTTAATTCCATATCTTTGTACTTATTAGTTAAATATTTGTTGTATGTTTTCCTTGTATTAGAAGAACATTTTTTTTTAGAACTTTTCAATCATCCCTCCTATATTATAATATCATAATAATTTATAGAAATAAATTTAGTTTCAAAAATTCGCTGTGTTTTTTAACTATTACATAATGATATTGTGTATAAATATTTACTATAATGGGTTATTTTTGGAAAATATAATAGTGACATAGGGGGCCTCAAAAAAAAGTTCGCGGGGGGGCCCCCAAAAAATTTGACACGCTACTGAGGCTTATGTTACTCGTAAGCCAAAGACCTTTGACTTTGACAATTGGACCTTTCGGAGAAATGTCACTGGTTCCTGCATTAGCTATTTTTAAAACAGCCTATACAATCACTACTTTTTTGCAACAATCCAAAAACAAAAAATAAAAAAATATATGTGCAAAAGTTGATAGAAATAGTTTTTTGGCACGCCTGTTATTGTTAATAATATTTTTTTGCTGCATATTGTTTGAGTAAGAAAATTAGTTTTTAAAAAGCACATTTTTTTACTTTAAAAAGGAAGAAAACTTAAAAAATTGAGAAAAAACATTTTTGGTAGAATACTAATATTATTAGGTGGACCACCCTGAATAAAGCTTTCCTAATAACATCTAACACATAAAAGGTCATAATATTTACGAAAATGGATTCCAACTCGAAATGGAAACAAATTCAAACGTGTATGGTGCTATAGCAATATAGCAATATTTTGAGGCTTAGCAGATGCATATATGCATCTGCTAAGCCTCAAAATATTTCCGTCGTTATTTTTCTCCAAATTTATGTAAACTTTGAATTATGGAATATTATTCGGTTACTATACAGGACGATTTAAAAAACCTGCCGCTAACTATATCGCTGTACATAACGTATTTGATTATATCAACGAAAAGGCTTATATTTCAGTTTGGTGGCATACAGAGGATGATAAAGTTGTACTTGGAGCAGGATATTTTTTTGGCCAAAACTAAAGACGAGGCCGTACTAAGGATAAGAAACAATTACATTTGCAAAGCCAAGTTGTGCATGAAAGCCTTTATATTTTACACGCCGTTTCTGAGCGTGGTATTCACAATATCGTATTTTTCTAAGTACTACGTTTTTTGGGATAAAAACAAAGCTAAGGATATGGTTCGTCAACTGGTGTTTCATTCTTATTTGCCATTTAACTCGAACGAGCACTACTTATTAGCTGGCCATACACAGGCGATATTTCGCGCGGTTTATCGTGGCGTGTTGGGATGTAGCGGTTAGTATGCACGAAAGAACGGCATGGCAAAAAAAGCGTCATGTTCCATACACTTGATAAAGTATTCAAATGATTTAGCAAGTGATTACCCGTGGTATATCAGTTTCAAAGGAAAAATCGTATGTGAGTGGGCAAAAAGTGTCATTTATCGAGTCGTTTGAAACTGCATGTGATCATGTACAAATTTTCAACGTGAAATTTTGCCAAGCAAAGGTAAACCGTGACGCGGAATGTGGCGTGTGGACACTCCACACTCCAGAGGAAAGCACGTCTGAAATCCCTTCCTGTTCTATCATTGCGCGCGGCGATACTCACTCACGTACATGATTTTCCATATGTTTTTGCAGATAACACGATAAACCGCGCGCAATAACGTCTGTGTATGGCCAGCTATTGGGTCTGGCTTGCAATGTTTTTTCCAGTTATTTTATCATTGTTTTGTACGTTTCAAGCAGTGTTGTTCTCATAAGTTTTTTATTTTCTATCTCTATCAAACTGCAAATCCTGCAGAATTTTCTACGAAACCTTGACAAGTACGCCGGCAATATTAGAAAGATTCATAAGAGATTATCTAAAGATCAGGCTGTTTTTGTTGGAGTTAGATTATGTATTATTGAGCATCAAAATATAATGAAGTAAGTTAAAGAAATAATTGTTATCATGTTTATTACAAAACAATAATATTGTAAAAATATTAATAATGGATTATTTTAGGTTAGTTTTAGAACTAAACAGCTACATCAAGTTTTTACTACTATTGAAGTTTCTTGCAAATTCTATGCAACTCGCAGCAAACCTATTGGCCATCATGGACGTAAGAAAAACAAATTAACAATTAATAATAAAATTGACGTTTTTTGTAGCTCGAATTGGGAGGAATATTTTTCTGTTTATTCGTGTACTTATTCCAAAGATTTGCCGAAATTATGATTCTACATTATACTGCCGACGAAATAAAATCACAGGTATGTTCACTGTACATTGTACAGGGTGATCCCCTATAATGTCGGCCCCCTTTAACTTTTTTATTTTAAGTGTCCCAAAAAATTTAAAAGTGTGGTTATGTAGGTACTAAAAAATACTTTTTTTCTACGTATAAAAAAAATTGATCAATATACAGGGAAAAACAAAAAGTTTATTTTTTTTCAATGGATCACCCTATATATGAATTTATTTTTCGATTCCTTCGAAAATTCTAAACATAATTCATATAACAAACCATACAGGGTGTCTATTTTAAAACGAGCAATGCTCTATAAGTCTGGACCTACAATAGATATTAAAAATTTCTCAAAACCGTTTCTAGGATACATAGGGGGAACCAGTATGAGCACAAAAATAACCTTCACTAAGCAACCCCTGGAGCTGTAGCCACCCCAACTCAATTTTTTTCAATAGCAACATACCCTTTGTGATACCTTATTGGAAAGCTCTTGAAAAATGCTATTAAACAGTACTTTTTATTCGTTTAATTTATGAGAAATACGCGAAATAATTTTTATAATTATTTATTTCAATTTCTCATTATAAATATCAAATTAAAGTATTTTGTTGCAAATAAGGTCATAAAACCATAAATGAAAAACTGAGGAACACAAATTAATTCTAAAAAAAGTTAAATAAACAAAAAAACATAAATAAACACATTGTTCAACAATAATCAAAACACTTTAATTTGTAGCTTTTTAAATAAAATGCAGAAAATAACTCCGAGTCTATTTTTAAATAGTATTTTATTATTTTAAAATTTTTGCCGCGAAATATCTTGGCATTATTGAATAATTTAAATTCTCAATGGAATGTGTATGTTTTTGGTGGATTTTTTGTATCAGATTATAAAAACTTACAAAAAAGACTACTATTCATACTGATTTCTTTAATATTTTAAATAGTATTATTTATTTTCCAAAATGGTTTACAGAACAGCTGAACGTGTTGAAATTATTTTTATTTATGCTGCACAAAATCGTTGTGCTCTACGAACTGCAGTGGCATTTAATGAACTACACCCTGGCAAAAATGTGCGTCATAAATATGTTCAAGAGCTGGTTGCAAAATTTGAACAAACGGGATCAGTTTGCAATCGAAAAAGGAACCAACCTAGGATACTTAATGAAGCCACCCATATTGAGGTTCTTGGTCAATTTGGTGTAGATGCCACGATATCACTCCGTTCGGCATCTAGGTTAACAGGGATTTGTCCTGAGTCTGTTAGGAAGGTGTTAAAACATCACAAATTCCACCCATACAAAATGGTTATTACACAACAACTTCACGATGAAGATGCAGACAGGCGTTTACAATTTTGTGAAATCATGACCGATAAAATAACAACTGAGATCCGACTACTAAAAAATATTTGCTTCAGGGATGAATGTACTTTTTATCTAAATGGAAATGTTAACAAGCAAAATTGTCGTTATTGGAGCAATGAAAATCCTCATCTATTCAGAGAAAACCATACCCAGTATCCTGAAAAACTTAATGTCTGGGCAGAAATTTTGGGAGATTGTATTATCGGTCCCTTATTTATTGACCAAAATTTAAATTGTGAAATTTATTTTGAAATGTTGAATGAAACAATACAGCCATTTATAATCCATGAACTAGAAAATCAAAGAGGAGAGGATGAGGAACTAGTTTTGGATGAATATTAATTACATTTTCAGCAAGATGGGGCACCACCTCATTATGTAGCAACAGTTAGGACTTGGCTGGATCAGAATTATCCAGGACAGTGGATCGGTAGAAGAGGGCCAATAGAATGGCCTCCCAGATCTCCAGATCTGACTCCGTTAGGCTTTTTTTATGGGATCACTTAAAATCGATGGTCTTCAAAACTCAGCCTCATTCTATTGAAGAACTGCGTCAACGAATAGTTCGAGAATGCCGAGCTATTCCACGACAAACATTTCAAAATGTTCGAAGGGAGTTTGAGAATAGAATTGCTTACAAAATAATGGGAATCATTTTGAGCATTTAATTTGAAGAGCTAAAAATTGAAGTGTTTTATTATTTTTAAACAATTTGTTTATTTATGCTTTGTTTTCCAGTTTTTCATTTATGGTTTTACGACCTTATTTGCAACAAAATACTTTAATTTGATATTTATAATGAGAAATTGAAATAAATAATTATAAAAATTATTTCGCGTATTTCTCATAAATTAAACGAATAAAAAGTAAAAAGTTTAGTACTGTTTAATAGCATTTTTCAAGAGCTTTCCAATGACGTATCACAAAGGGTATGTTGCCATTGAAAAAAATTGAGTTGGGGTGGCAGGGAAAAACAAAAAGTTTATTTTTTTTCAATGGATCACCCTATATATATATTTATTTTTCGATTCCTTGTAAAATTCTAAGCAAATTTCATATAACATACCATATACCTAAATTCAACCGTTTCTGAAATATTTAAATTATTTTTAAGATAATAATTTAAAATAGTAGTTTGTCTTCCTCTGTCTGAGTACGCCATTTTTACTAAGGCTGGGAATCGATTACGAATAATTCGAATATTTGAATATTCGAGTACTCGAATAGGGGTGGAAATCGATTATAAATTATTCGAATATTCGAATACTCAAATATTCAAACATTTGAATACTCGAATATTTGAATATTCGAATACTCGAATATTCGAATACTCGCATATTTGAATACTCGAATATTAAAACACTTTAAATTAGTACTTATATATAAGGGTGGTGCAAAAAATTTTTTTTTCAAATATGTTAATTTGTCATTTTTATTAAAAAAAATTAACAGCTCTCATTAAAAATTAGATGGCTTTTGAATTTTGAAAATTCCAAAAATAATCAAATTCGAAAAAAGCGATATATGTATTCGCTTCGTTTTGGACAGTAGTAAAAAGTAATCAGTAATTACTATATGTTTAATTGGTAAATTCTCATATAACTTGTTTCGATGCTGTATCCACTTATTTTTGTGAAAACTAATTCTCGGGTTTTTTTAGTGTAATGAGCATGTATCATTTTAAGGTAATGGGAACTTAAATTATGACAACCCTAATCTATTAATTTTTTCCTAAAATGCAGGCTTTATGTTGCAAATGTCACGTAAGTTACCGGTCTTCAACTGCAATATCCTAACATTGATGAATATTTTAACAAAATGGCTGTTGAAACAACTAATGTTAGTGCTTGATTACCTAAAAATAGACTTAAGATTGACGAAAAATTATTTTATCCGAAATCGGCAGTAAAGTAGAACTTTACTGCCGATATATTTTAATTTACGATTGTTGAATAATTGAAATATTTTAATATTCGAGTATTTAAAAATTCGATTATTTGAATATTTAAAAATGTACTCTATATTCGAATTATTCGAATGTACGAGGACATGAATCACAGATTATAAAGACATGAATATTCGAATTATTCGAATTTACGAGAACACGAGTATTCGAATAATTCGAATACTCGAATATTCGAATAATTCGAATACTCGAATATTCGAATAATTCGAATACTCGAATATTCGAATAATTCGAGTATTTCAAATAATTTTTAAACAAGTATTCGAATTCCAAAACTAACAAATTCCCAGCCTTAATTTTTACTTATTTAACAAGACATATTGACATAATGTCACTATAGTAACTTATTTTCAATAAAAATTTTGGTATTCTAAAGCTTCTTGATTTTTGAAAAAAGGATTGTACCTAATATTAACAATCGGTAATTGTTGACCAATATATGTTGAGACAACAATTTTTATTGTTAATATTACGTACAAATTCAGAAATTTAAGTGATGATGATACTGGCGATTGTTAATAGAATTAAATCCCAATTGTTATTATAACCAACCGTGATTCATAATATTCACAATCTTTGTTCATTGTTATAACAATTAAAT